CATGGCCCTTCATGACATCATCTCCAATTAATTATCTCTTTAGACTCGGTTCCAGTTACTCTTCTACTTGTTTATTTATTCTTCCCATCCCCACCAATGTCCCCCCTCTTCAATTTGGCAATCCTTCTTCCTCTGGGTAACTGCTATCTCCATACAGATTCTGGCATCACCTAAGTTTTTTCTTATCTATTTTCTCCCCACCCGAGTTATGCATATCTCTAAGGCAATGTTTTTCACACAATATCACACTTATCTGTTTACTCAACTATCAGCTTCTTGAGAGGCCAGAATTCAATAAATGTTAGATGAATAAATTCACTTCTTTTGAACAGACTGGTGGTGGTAAAGAATTCTGAGGCAAGTAGCAAGCAAGGCCTCTACGTCCTAGCCGAGTCTTCAGGAAAACTCAGATTTCTACTACGGTAAATGTGGACACTGTTGCTATTCAGATGTTTTATTTACTCATTCAGCAAGTTTGGAGCCGAGGTACTACAGGCCATGTCCTTAACAAACCAAGTAAAATATTTATTTTTACTTTTTGCTATCTTAGAATGGGATCAAGAATAACTGTAGACTAGCTATGCTTAAAATGGAGCCATGAAAAGGAGAAAAACAAAGCTATAAAACTTATTTTGTAAGAAGCTTTGTCTTCTTATATATCTTTGATATATCTTTGATATACCAAGAAAGGCAATACTGATAAATGGAAATATCTTGCATTTTTTTAAGTATGTGGGAGCAAATATTCATTTCTCAAATCAAACAAATTCTAAAAGTGATTTATGTTTAAATTCTCCACAGACTACCCAGACAACATTTGGCCATTTGGGCAAACATTCCAACACGTATTCAGATGGTTAAATAAAATATTAGGTCATATTTTAATCGATGTGCATACTGAAGCTTTAGAAAGACATTAAATATGATTATATTTTAATGAACATAAATTCTAAAAAGGAACTGTTAGCATTAAAATGTACCAATGTAACTTTACATCAAAAACATCTCAAAAAGGCAAGAGCGAGACCCATCTCTACTATAAATAGAAAGAAATTAATTGGCCAACTAATATATATAGAAAAAATTAGCTGGGCATGGTGGCGCATGCCTGTAGTCCCAGCTACAGCCCTCAGCCTCAAGTAAGATTGCTTGAGCCCAGGAGTTGGAGGTTGCTGGGAGCTAGGCTGATGCCACAGCACTCACTCTAGCCTGGGCAACAAAGAGAGACTCTGTCTCAAAAAAAAAAAAAAAAAAAAAACTCAAAAAGGATCTCTATATTCTGATCTGCCTTTATATTAACTGGATCTCAGAATTACACATCACATAGTATATTAAGATGTCTAGATTCCCATATTTGATAAAATTAAACAAAGCTGTTTTTTTTAAAAGATTATAAAATGTTTATCAGCTGCATTACACATTATATTCTTTCCAAATATTCCAATCCAAAAATTTCAGTCTTACAGCCAGGAAAACAAATAAGGTTTATAATAAATACATGAACTTAGAATTAGTAATCACTCTGCAAATTTTAAAACCAATTAAAGGTAGTTTCATCCAAAGTTTTACAGTGCTTCACAGGATGGGCAGTGCAGTAGGTGGGAAAATATACTGCACTAGGAGTCATGGGTGGTTTCTAGTTTTAATTCTGCCACTAACTAGTTACATGGCCTCAGGGATATCACTTTTTTTTAGGCTGGTCAAGTGAGGAAATCACTTTTAATGAAGGAAATAAGCCTAAGTACTTCTAAACTCCCTTTCAGCTAAACAAGTACATAAGTGCACCAGTAAAAAAAAAATGTCCAGATATTTTTAAAATTCAATGTTTCTCTTAGCTTATTTTTGTGATTCAACTACAACACGCTAAAATTCTTGAGACTTTTTCTCTCCAACTGCCTTCAAAATTGACAACAGCAGCTGCTGTTCATTATTTTCTCTCTCTGTAACACATTACATGCTTATAACACATTTTGCATATAAACATGACACTGGTGATCCACAATTAGTGGGTGACTAGTGACCCATCAACTTTCATTCTGCCCTCCTAAAAATGTCTTGCACTTTCCCAGTGACTAGCCAGCCAAACTGCAGTCTGTGGTTATGAAACAGCATTTTTCTCTGTGTGAAGCCAACTAACCCCATTAGCTGGGTATAAGATTGATGATTTTACACTTACTGGCAAACGATTTAAATCACTCATCTTCATTAACATCTAGCAGAATGAGTTTAGAGAAAAACTATTAATTCTATTACGACCTTGGGAACCCCATTTTCCAAGAACCTTAGAAGGCAGACACTTATAATCCATTGACCATATTACTGTTTGGTCAGTGATCCTGAAATATACTTCCAAAACACACTAAGATTAGGAGATAAACCAGGACACCATTACACGGTGATATTAATATATAAGCATTCCCTAAGACAGGACCCAGAAAAATCCTAAATGGTATATCACATTTGGATAAATTTCAGAGGCAGTAAAGCTGGGTTGAACACCACAAGCAGTATCAGAACCCGAGGAAGAATTCTGTAGGAAAAGGGAAGCGTGAGCCTACTTGTTTTTACTGGGGAATGACGTGAAGCAAAACTAAAAACAAAACAGCTAGGCAAAGATGGTCACGTGCATGCGAGAGGTGTGCGAAAAGCATTAAAAGCGAGGTTTACAGAATTTTCTTAGATGTCAACGTGGCTGAAATAGCATGTGAAATCATCTTTACGTGAGGACTCAGTGTGATGTTGAACTACAATCATTCACTGTTTCTAACTACCAACTATGCACAAGTATGTTGGAGCCTTGAACAGAATAAAGTGCTTGGAGAAAAGCACGCACGAGAGGACAAAGGGTCAATGTTATAGCGTGAGCCACCCAAATCTGGGTGCTGTCAGGAAGCGGGGAGGCAGAGGAATGTCTTCTAAAGGTGAGGAATCAGCCAAGGTGAAAGAAAAGGTGTGCGTGGAGGTGGAGAATACATACCCACCCTGTCTCCCCACTGAAGATGCTGTAATAGCGGGGAGACGGCATCGGGCCCCCGGCTCCCAGGGATGAGGTGAACAGAGAATAGAGAACACAAGAGGGTCGGGTGGCGGAGACGCGGCACTCCAGGGGGCTTGGGGACAGCACCTCTCCACCCCCCGCAGAACGCCGGCCCCCTCTCACCTGGGCGCTGCCGCCCGGCAGCTGCGGGCAGCGGGGAGAACCGGGGGACACGTCCAAGTCACTCTCTTCCTCAACCTCAGCCTCTGCCTGAGGCAGGCTCCAGGGTCCCGGCGGCGGCCACGGCTGCTCCATGCCCGGCTGTCCCCGGCCCTACAACCGCCCCTGCCAACGGACTTGGCGTTAAGTGGAACCCGCTGTGCGGAACCAGCCGCCCCAGCCGGCCGGGGCCGTTACCCACAATCCCCCTGCTAGCCTCGGCACAGACGCACACCCCGCGCCAGTCTGGGCCGCGCCTCCGGAGGACGGCGGAAGAAGTAGTCGATGGGAGCGTCACTTCCGGTCGGGGCGGGGCGGCAAGGTGCGTCCTGCGGCCTCAGTGTAGGGGGTGGGTTTGGAGCTGTTGTCTTGTTTAAAACTCCGTTCTCTGAAGCCTTTCAGCGCTGGGTACTTGCATCAGATGGCGCGGCGGGTGGTGAAATACTTGTTAAGTAGTGGTAGATATTTGCTATCTAGTGTTCCCTACGCTGTAAACTGTGGGTCCTGGCCGCCGCGAGGTGCACGAACCAAGTGTCCACTTTGCATGTTGTTTTAAAACTGCAACTCTAGTCTGAGGAGCCTAAGAGTAAAAAAATTAAAAAATAAAACTGCAACTCATTCCTGTGCATTGACATACACACCAGTAGTTCTAAGGCGGGGTTGAGACAGGGGTGGGAGGATCTTGAAAAGTGGAGCTCATTTTCCTCTCATTTCCAATTATAAACAATAAGAAAATTATGCAAAACTTGGAGGAATACACCAAAGATAAAGTACTGGGGCGAGCACGGCTTCAAGAAATTAAGATCAGTACCCTAATAGCGAACGTGTAGGGGGGGCTTCCTGTATTCCTACTTTTGTTTAATCCTAAAAATCTGTGCTCTTACTATCCCCTTTTTTGATAAGAGGAAATAGATCCAACACGCCCGAGGTCACACACTTTAAGAGCTAGGATACAGCCCAGAGAGTCTAACTTGCAAATTTGCACGTTTAACAATCAGGCTTTGCTACCCTACTCATAATTAAAGACAGCCAAATAAAAACAAGACGTCATTTTTTCCCTGTATTAGATTGACAAACTTGTGAAGTTTGATGTGAGGAAATGATGCAAGAATGTAATTTGTGTAACGTTTTGGGAGGAGTAATTTGACAATATGAGAGGCTTAAGTGCTTTGATTCAGTAATTTCACTACCAGGAAATTATGCAACAATTATTTTTGCACCAGTATCAAAAGACTTATTTACAAAGATGTTTTGGCAGAATTTTTTGTGGTAAGACAAAAAAATCCAATTGCCCATTAATAGAGGAACTTAAGTTATGGCATATTAATAACATAGAATATTAATTGGTCTCTAAAAAGAGTGAAGTAGATCTAAATATGCTGATATAGAAATATCTCCAAAATGTATTGAGTTATAAAAAGCAACTTGAAGAATTAGATATATGTATGTATATGTAATACATAGAAGGAAAGAGAGATAGATCCTATTCATGTGAGGACTAGTCCTCCTATGTGTGTGTGTGTGTGTAACATTCCTGGAAGGTATACAAAAAACTGTTAATGATTACCTCTGGTGGGTAAGGCTGGGGAGGAAAGTTTCTGAGGATCTTTATTTTCCACATTCAGCTTTCCTATATTGTGCTGTTTGAATATTTGCCAATGAATATATAACTTAATATTTATATTATATAAATAAATATAAGTATAAATAAGTATAAGTATAAATAAATAAGTATATTTATATATTATATAAGTAATATGTTATAAATAATAATTAGTAAGTAATTATAAATAAAAGTTGAGAAGCACTTTTGCATCTAAACCTTCTGAGTTTATGGGTGAAAGCCACAGGAGAAAACAAAGGGGGAAATAAGGGAAAACACTTTTCTTTTTGCTTCCATGAAGCCGCAAAGTGCTTTTAACAGTGTCTGGCATAAAGTAAGTGCTATATAAATAAATGCTAAGTGTTGTCGTTGCAGTTGTTGTTGTTGTTTTCCTACCTTACTACTTCTCCTCAGTCTCCTTCCCTTCTAGCTGACTTCTAATTTTAGATTTCCTCAGATTTTGGCAAGTGGGGAAAATCTTGTCTATTCCTGTGGCATTAAATGACATCTGTGTATCGGCAATTTCCAAATTGAAATCCAAGCCATAACCTTACCCCAGTGTTTCAAACTCATAAGTCTACCTGCTGATTTGACATCTCTTTTTGAATGGCTCATAGAAATCTTAAATTTAATACATCCAAAAAAGTACACGTGATCCCATCCTGTTCCCCAAACCTTTTCTTCCTGCCTTCTCTATGTCAATAAATGGCACCACCACCAAGTCCAACACCTAGAGGTCAGCCTTAATTCCCCCCTCTCCTGTACCTCTTATACAAACAGCAAGTCCTGTGGTTTTTGCCCTCCAATACATCTTGAGTCTATCTATTTCTGTCCAGCTTTACTGCTTCCTCCCTAGGCCAGGCCACTATGATCCCTCCTCAGGACTACTGCAGTAGTCTTCCATGCTTCTGTTCCATTCTTGCTCCTTACAATCTCTTCATACAGTTGCCAGAGAAATTTTTAAAATATATTTAAATCAGATATGTCACATCCCTGCTGTGTCAATTGCATGCTTTTAGTGCAAACAACTGAAACCCCAGCTAAAAGAGACCTAACCATAGGCCATTTATTGTCTATTGAACAAAAAGGATGAAGATAGGTGGTCCCTGAATAGGTTTAGCAGTTTGCCGATGTCATCAGTGACTCAGGTTCTTTCCATTCCTCCTCTCCGTCATCCTAAATATGTTGACTCTCATCTTTGTACTTGTTACATCATGGTTGCAGGATGACTGCCACAGCCCTGGACATCTCATCAAACTAAAGCAGCTAAAGCAGAAAGGGAGAAGAGGAGGAAAAACACTTTATTCACTTGTGGCTCTCATATCAGAATAAAAATCTCAAAAGCTTCTAGTGATTTCCCTTTATATCTTATTGGCCAGAACAGGATTATATAAGTTATGATTTGTTCCCTGGAGCTGGGTGCATTGCCACCCAAACAAAACTCAGGTTCTGTTGGCAAGGAGAAAAAGTTTATGGCTGTAAGGTAGGCAATCATATTCTCTGCCATAACTGTTTTAAGTTCTTGTCCAATCTAGTGTCACCTTAACTCTTGAGTATCATCTCTTAAACACCCCATCTCACCTCCCTCCAACCCCATGTCTCTCTTAGTATGTTCATTGGACTCCTTTCAGTTCCTCAAACATACCATTATCCATTGCTTTCCTGACTCATGGCCCTTTGCATTTGTTGTTTCCTTTGCCTGAGTATCTTTCCTTTTACTTCTTTGAAAGTCTTGCTAGTGGTCATGCTTCTCTTCTTAGATCTTAGATTAAATGTTAAACCCTTAGAGAGGCCAATCTGGCCACTGAATCTAAATTAGGTTCTTATTCCCTAACTGTACCTTCTATCTGACGACCTTGGATATTTCCTTCCTACTATTCATCATACTGTTATTTATGTTCACTTAGTTATTATGTGTCTTCCCCCACTAGAAGGTAAACTCCATGAGAATACAGATTGCTCGTGTGGTGACATTATGTAAGTATTGAGCCTACAGATGCCAGTGAATCAAAGCATAAGCCAAAGAGTAACATATGAGTCTGACTCATGAACCCTAATAAAGTTTTGGAAATAGATCCCATGTGTGGATCCAGATCCCAAATGACTTCAAGATTGTTAAAAGCTGTTCAACTGCAATTTGATTCCTTCCTTGGAAATATTCCTGATACTTCAGGAAAATTTTTGAGAAGTGTGTATACATAAAGAAATACTCAAATTGTCAGCTCCCGTTTTGGATATTCATGCAGAGATCACTTTTCTTATAATACAGTGCTACTTTTTTCCTTTAAATGGATTTCCTTCTGAATTGCTTGTAAGGTATTACACATCAAAATATTTTGATCTGCAGTGTGGTGAATAGATTCGCCATATTTTCTCTTTAAGAGAAAATGTATATAAGACATCTATTGAAGAGAATTTTATAGTGATGTCACCGAGAATTCTCTTGTTGAGCTATTTTAGGACAGAAAGAGGTCCCTATAAAGATATAATAGCTTTTTCTTATTTAAGTATACATTTTAAAAATTTTAATTGTTATTAATATTTTTAAACAAACGAAAATATAGAATTACATATCCATCACTGACATTCAATAAGTATCAAGATTTTGCTACATTTGCTTTGTCTATTCCTTTTATTCATTTGCTGGAGTACTTAAAAGCAAAATCTGGCTGAGAATGGTGGCTCACGCCTGGAATTCCCATGCTTTGGGAGGCTGAGGCAGGAAGATCACTTGAGCCTATGAATTCTAGGCTGTAGTGAGCTGTGATGGTGCCACTGCGCTATAGACTGAATGAGAGTGAGAACTTGTCTCTAAAAAAAATAATAACAAGTAAAAAAAATCAGAGCAAAATCTTAGACTTTAGGTCATTTTACCACTACATAGCTTAGTGTGCATCTCTAAATAATGTTAGTATTTGGCCGGGCGTGGTGGCTCACGCCTGTAATCCTAGCACTTTGGGAGGCCGAGGCGGGCGGATTGCTCAAGGTCAGGAGTTCAAAACCAGCCTGAGCGAGACCCCGTCTCTACCAAAAATAGAAATAAATTAATTGACCAACTAAAAATATATATACAAAAAATTAGCCGGGCATGGTGGCGCATGCCTGTAGTCCCAGCTACTCGGGAGGCTGAGGCAGTAGGATCGCTGAGCCCCGGAGATTGAGGTTGCTGTGAGCCAGGCTGACGCCACGGCACTCACTCTAGCCTGGGCAACAAAGTGAGACTCTGTCTCAAAAAAAAAAAAAATAATAATGTTGGTATTTGCCTTACATAAACACAAGGGCATTATCATACCTATCAAAATTAATTGGTTGGTATTATCTAATGCCCAAACCATAATCAAATTTCTCTGATGTTCTCAAATATTATATTTAAATTGGTTTGTTTGAATTAGTGTCCCAACAAAGTCCACATATTACATTTGGTTGTTAGGTCTCTTAAGTATCTTTAAATCTAGATAAGCATCCCTCACCCCTTCTTCTTCTTCTTTTTTATTTAATGCCATTGACTTGTGGACTAACTTGATCAGTTACCCTATAGAATGTCCCACATTCTAGATATGTCTGCCTGCTTCTTTGTGGTGTCATTAGTATATTTTAAAATCCTCCATATTTCCTTTAAGTGAAGTTACCTCTAGAACGATGCTGCCCATTAGAACTCTCTGTGATGATAGAAATAATTCTATCTGTACTATCTAATACAGTAACCACTAGACACATGTAGCCATTTGAGCAATTTAAATGTGACTAATGCAAGCAAGGAACTGAATTTTAAATTTATTTAGTTTTAGGCTGAGTGAGGTTGCTCATGCTTATAATCCCAGTGCTTTGGGAGGCCAAGATGGAAGGATCGCTTGAGGCCACAAGTTTGAGGCCAGCCTGGGCAACATATTGAGACCCCCATCTCTACAAAAAATTAGCCAGGTTAGGTGGCACACGCTTGTAGCCCTAGCTACTTGGGAGGCTGATGTAGGAGGATTGCTTGAGCCCATGGGTTCATGACTATAGTAAGCTATAATAGTGCCTCTGCACTCCAGCCTAGGTGCCAGAGCAAGATCCTGTCTCAAAAATAAATAAAATTATATAGGCTTATTTCAATTTAGTTCATTGCCATAGCTATAGGTGGCTACCATATTGGACAGTCAGTTCTAGTGACTTGATTAGATTCAACTTCAACTTTCTTGGCAAAAGTGCTTCATTGGTGCTTCCTATAAATCACATAGAGAGACATGTGATGTTACCCATAGTAATGTATAGTCATGCTAATATTGATCAGTGAGTTCCTATGGTGACAACCTGATCCCTCTAATGTAAAGTTCCCCCAAAGAATGTGACTGTAACATTAACCATTTAAAAAAAATATATATATATAAACTTCTTCTTTATGCAGCTTTATAGAACCAAAGAAAGAGCCCAGTGTAGTTCATTGAGCTCTTTTATACATTCAAAGCAAAAGTCAGAAAGGTATATCAGGGTGTGAGAAAACTGAGCTATTAAAGAACATTTTAGAGAAAGACTTTGGAGAAGGCTAAATATAAAGGACAAGTATTTCTTGGGTCTTGAGGCTGGGTCTGTACTTAAAAAAAATCAGTGATCTCTAAATGCATTACTACTGAAATAATTCAGATTGTTTCTCATGCTTGGGTGTTTTTTGTTTTCCTTTTCAAGCATTTCTTTCAAATGCTAATGAATAACTCACTTTGGAAACTCAATCTGCTGGTGTTATTCACACTTGCTAATGAATAATTCACTGGCTCAAAGATTATAGGGCTTAACAAATAAATGAGTCTACTGAGTCCAGACACAAACAAGTGGCCTAGAATAGGATTTTGAAGGTCTTCTTATTACTTATTATGGAATACAGCTTCCCTTACAGAGTCAACCGGCTCTAATAAGAGAGTGTGAATGTGATGGAGAGAAAAGGTCCTCTTTTCTTACCTGTCACCTTGTCAAATAACCCAGGTGGCTCTTTTTTCTGCTTTAGGCAGAGCACTAATGGCAGGATAAGGGCTCAGCATGCATCAAACAGTGCTGTAAAACCTGATTTTGCCTGACCTTTCCCCTTTCAAACTCTGATGAAAGCTACAGGCTTTCTTCCTATTATAAGAAATGCACATATGCACATGCAGGAAAGGTTGCTTATCATTTCAGGGAGTTTCAGACCCCCAAGATAGCCAGAGATCACAGGATAAGAAACACAGTGGAAGTAGAAGTGGCAGAAACACTTGCATGGATATTTTTATGATGTGCAGTATATAGGATATAGTCCCCCAAACTGAAGAAGCCAGTTCCTGCTCCTTCCTATTTCTCAGATTTATCCTTTCTATTGTTTTATGTTTTCTACTTGTTTTAATTTGTTTTCCTTTTTGAACTAGATAATGCAAGTACTTGGAAAAAATATTTTTTAAAGGTACCTAAGGATATTCAATGAAAAATAAGATTCCTTTCTCCCTCCTCTCCCAGTTTCCTCCCCAGAGGCATCCATTATTAGCAGTTTCTACTGTATCCTTTCAGGAATATTCTAAGTATATATACGTACATATAATATTCTCCTTCTCTCCCAAATGACAGCATACTTACACATTTTTTTGCACCATGCTTTTTTCCCCTTAGTTCTATATTTTAGAAATTATTTACTATTAGGACTTATGACTCTGCTTCATTCTTTTCTCATGCTTCATATTATTCCATTGTGTGGCTAAACCATAATTGATTTAATCTGACCCTATTTATTAAACTTTTTTTTCAAGAGATGAGGTCCTACTCTGTCACCCAACCTAGAATGCAGTGGTGTGATCATAGCTCACTGTAACCTCAAACTTTTGGGTTTAAGCAATCTTCCTGCCTCAGCCTCCTGAGTAGCTAGAACTAAAGGCACATGCTACCATGCCTGGATAATTTTTTTATTTTTGGAAGAGATGGAGTCCCTTCCAAGTACTAACCAGGCCTGACCCTGCTTAGCTTCTGAGATCAGATGAGACTGGGCACATTCAGGGTGCTATGACCGTAGATAATTTTTTTAAAAATTTTTTTGAAGTGATGGTGGTCTCACTATGTTGCCCAGGCTGGTGTTGAACTGCTGGCCTCAAGCAATCCTCTCACCTTGGCCTCTCAAAGTACTGGGATTACAGGTGTGAGCCACCATGCCTACCTGTATCTAATGAACATTTAGTTGGCTGCTAGTATTTTTTTTTTTAACTACAAATAATGGTGCATAATGTGTTTTTGTGAAAGTATACCCATGGGATAAAATTCCTAACAGTGAAATTTCTGAGCCAAATGAAAAATTTTGATAGACATTATCAAATTGCTTTCCAGAGAAATTATATATGGTAGGCAAAATAATGGCCCCCAAAGATGTCCACATCCTAATGCCTGGAACCTGTAAATATGTTACTTTACATAGTAAAGGGGAAACTAGAGTTGCAAATGGAATTACTGTTGTTAATTGGCTGATCTTAAAATAAGGAAATTATCCTGGATTACCTGGGTGGTCCCAATGTAATCACAAAGGTCTCTATGAGTGGCAGAGAGAACTGGAGAGATGGAGTATGAAAAATTCTTGGCACTATGTTGCTGGTTTTGAAGAGGAAAGAAGGGATTTTGAGCCAAGGAGCACAGGCAGCCTCTGGAAAAGCAAGGAAATGGAAAAGGCAAAGAATGCAGTCCTGCTGGCACCTTGATTTTAGCCCAGTGAGCTCTGTGTTGGATTTCTGAGCCACAAAACTGTCAGGTAATAAATTTTTCTTGTTTTAAGCCCTTAATTTTGTGGTAATTTATTATATTAGCCATAGAAAACTAATACATTATATGTATTTACATGCCCACCAACAATGTGTGTTGCTTCATACCCCCCATTATAATGTGCCCTTTTTTTTTTTTTAGTTTCTTTTCTTCATATGAATACTTCTTCTATTATTTGTAAAGAAATGTTTATGATATTGTATTTTTTTAGGCAGGGTCACGCTACAAAAGCCAGGCTGGTAACTCTTGAGCTCAAAATACTCTCTCATCTCACCCTCTGAGATAGCAGGGACTACAGGTGTGCCACCATGCCCAGCTCTAATAATAGTTTTTGTGTCTTATAATAGTTAAATTCTTTTTAGTTAAAAGTAAGATATCAGCCATAATTATCTGACTGTCATATTCTTGTTTTTTGCGAATTTATTCTTTGGAAAATTCCCTTTTGGGGCATGTTTCATTTTCTTGTCTGGGGCCAGGAGGTGAACAGATCGTGCTGATGTGTCATTTCTGCAATGCTGATGTCACTGCTGACCAAACTGCACTGCAGAAACACTCTGGAAATAGAGGCTGTTCTTTGAATCTATTTGCTGCCATCAATAGTACCTACCCAGGTAATAAAGCCATTCTTTCTCCTTTTCTTTGGTAGTCATTCTCTCTTTAAAAAATATTTTTCATATATATTCATGGAGTACAAGTGCATTTTGCTACATTGATATATTTCATTATGGTGAAAGCAAAGCCTTCCTGACATCCATCACTGTAGCAGCACACATTGTACCCACCAAGCAACCTCCCATCATCCACCCCCCTTCTCCCCCAATCCATTATCTTGAAGTGGAGACAGTCTAATCCTCAAACATCTTTGCTTGGCCTCCTGCAGAGCTGGCAGCCTCAGTGATTAATTACTCAGCAAGATGGGTGAGAGATATTGTTATGTAGCAACTTCCATATCTCCATGGCAGCTGGGAGCCTGAGGTGACCATGGTGGGGGAAATTGACAAAGTGTGACTATTCCCTATCAACTCATTTAATTTAATATCCCCATGGCAGACTAGCAGAAGTAGTTACGCCTGGTTCTTTCTCATTCTGCATATTTAGTTTGTCCTGATGTGGTAGGACCTCCTCTTGGTAGTACCTCCCCTTACCCATGTACATTAACCCCTACAGACTGGCTTGACCATCTTTGCATTTAATATCTATTTACTGCTATCTGATATTTACTGATATCTGCTATACTAGGTATTTAGGATACAAACACTTAGCCATGCAGAGTTTACAGATAGTAATCATCAATCACAGGATCAAATGTAAAGCTGCTATTGTGGCAGCTGCTACAAAGAGGAGATATATATATTTAAAAGAGCAAGATTTTACCTTATTGGGGGAGCAGAAGAGAGGCCTGGGTGGGATGTGTAAATCTGTGTATGTGTGTTAATCAATACCTACACTGGATGGCCCTGTAGGTAAAGGGTATGTAGAGTGAGGAAAGGAAAAGACTAGAAACATTGCTTAGCAGATTGAGGGGTATAAATAATGACAGAGAAAGAATGGCCAGAAAGTTGGAGGGAAACTTGAAGAGGGCTGTACACTAGAAGTCAAGCAGGGAGAGTCCAGTTATATTAAAAGTTAAGACTAAGAGGAGCACTGGATGGAACATTGTGTCTCTAAGGACCAACAGGATGTCTGCCTTGCAGGCCCAGTGATGTGATAGGGAGGGAGTCGCTGTATTCAGATGTGGCTGCTCCCCTTATTATTTGCATGGCCTTTGGCAAAAGGCTGTCTGGCTTCAGATTCTGCACCTGTAAAATAGGGATAATATCTCCCTCAAAGAGTTATCCTGGGGATGAAATTAATTAGCATATGCTATGTACCTAGCACCTTGCAGATGCTCATAAAGATTCATTCCTCCCTTCCATTATGTCTTTGGCTACTTATTAACCTGCTTTGGTTGTCACTCTCCTTGACAGCATTGGCGCTGTGACTTACCTATAAGGATCATCACAGGTCCACCCACATCGTTTTGAGTGCCAGTGAGTTGTGAGATGACAAGTCAGTGATCTAGACACTATAGGAAGCCAGGTGCCCATTTGTCTATCTCTTGGTATGCAGAGAGACAGAGCAATAGGAAGTGGATAAGGATACAATATACCCTTCTACAACATACTGAGTTTTCTGCCTTCCAGGGAAAGGAACTCCAATTACCAAAATCAATACCTGATCTTGTCTCCAGCCATCTTTCTGCACTATTTCCAATTGCATAAATCTCCAGTGCAAAACATTAGTAATAAATGACTGAAGACAATTTAAGATTTCTTTTTTTGGGGGGGGGGGACACAGCACTGGCCCTCCCAGATTTCTTGGATTACTAGAAGCAGCCACTCCCTGCACCTTTCTTTCTTTTTTGTCTATCAAATATGGTAAATGGAAAAAATGCAATTCCCACCATTGGCTGGGAACTCTCGCTCTGCTCATCACCCTGATGGTTTTTACAGTGTTAACCCTGGCTTTGGCAAGCAGGGTAACTCCCCATTGGGAGATAAGGTAATTCAACGCTTGCCTTAGATTAACTAAAGCCCAGAAAAGGCCGGGGCAATGCCATGAGGAGAGAAAATTACTTATGTTTCTATTGTTGCTAACACGGGATATGTAACTTTTAAACCTGTTTAAGAATCATCCTTGTACTAATATTTCTAATTAACACACGTTTAATTTCTTGTTACTGACGGTTGCCCATGTTTTCCAAAACCAAACACGAGGGCATATTTAATAAGCAAGAAAGTACCTTAGGGACAGGCCACTACATTGAATTAGAATTGTTACAGAAATTCCAGGGCTTGGGAGACATGTAGCTACTAAAAATGCGTGGTACTTAAGTTACAGCGGAGTTCTGACGTCATTGCACTTTTAGGATGGAAACTGTAAACATTTTAACATAGTGATTGGAGATAAAGAGATCTGATGGAAAGAAAACTAAGACTCTTAGCAACTCGGGACCCAGCTACCACGCCCAGCAGCCGGCGGGGGTCTCCCGGCTTGGGCCCCGCGTTCCAGGCGGAGCACACAGGGCGCGCCTGCGCCGTGGCCGCGCTCGCGTTCCAGCGTGGAAGGCGGCGCGTTTGAGCGTCCATGGCAACGCGACGACGCTTCCGCCTTCTGGAAGCCTACACTGCAGCTCTTGTTGTGAGAGACCTGTCCCGGTGGGAGGGACCAGGGCTGGGCCAGGGGGACGGATGGGGGAACAAGGGGGTGAGGGGCTGGGGAAGCTTCTGGGAACGTTTGCCCTAGGGATTGAATTAAACTAAGAAAAACTGGTCCAAAGCCGGGCACAAAAGGATCTTTTCATCCCAGTCCTTTCGCCCACGCAGGGAACGAACGATGCCTTTGGAGGTGGTGGTGGAGCTGCAGATCCGGGCGGTAAGAGATCCACGAACCCGCTCCTTAACCCAAAGTCGCACTCTTGGGTGATTTTCGCCACCCTTCCCCGACTTTCAACACACACATCGTTCTCTTTTGAGACAAATCGTACTTTTGTCCCTAAGATTTTCTACGTCGGTCGTCCCGGACTTCCTAACCTTTAATTCCGCTCAACCAGTTCTACCTTTTGTTTTTTGTTTTCCTAAGCTAACTTGTTTCTTAACGTTATCCTTAACTTTTCCGTCCTTTTAAAACAATCCAGCAAATAGGACTTTCTTTTCCAGGATGAAGACTTCTGAAAGGATTTTAAAAACTTCTTTAAATGACAAGGGAATAATTGAATTTTAAAAAGCCCCATCACTTCCTGATAATATGCCACCTCTGTGAACCAATCAAATATTTTCTAAGCTATTTCCCCTAGTGATGGCTCTGGCTTGCTATGTCCAAAGGGGAACTCAATCAACAAATATTTCGTAATTATCCACCAAATGCTCCTAAGTAAGGTACTGTGACAGAGTGCTTCCATTCTTCCTATTTGGGGGTCAGTCATTCCTGTTATTTTTAGCTTCCACTTTCCAGTTCTTCCATCTGTAGTGACAGACTATCCTGCAGCTTTGCCTCCAAGCTACTAGGGGCTTCTCTATTGGACACGATGACAAGCACAATGCTAACAGGTTACAGCCATGGAATCTGGTTAGCCTCCATACAACTGGCACATGCTGTGATTTCATCATACATGGAGCTGCGAAACAAAGCCGATCAAAATTTCCTGGATTTCTCCCACTTTGCTGACAGCAAATAGGACCAGACCATATCAGTTGTGCTACATCAATTTCAAGCTTTCAAAATTGTGCAGGAAGATGAAGGAACCCTTGAGAAGCTAAGTGATAAATCAGTCTTCCTCTTCAAGGCAAAAATTAAACAAGTTTTCATCTCACTTCGTTTCACATTACTGGTTAATTTTATTTTGATTTTTAAAAGGCATTCCTCAGTGTACAATTAACAAAGAAATCAGTTTTCTACTCTACAGTACTTCAGATGCTCCAGAAACATCAGGTGAATTGATCTTTAAAAGCCAGCCAACCCAGCCTCCAGCAAAGAAAACAGGGAATTCCAAAAGTTTAACTACGAACCAGAGGGTGAGCCTAATTTCAAGCCACCAATATCTGGACTTATGGACACTGCAAAAGGAAATATCATCTCTTCCAATTGCTTCCAAGTATCTGGCCTGAATACTGCTGCAATTAAAATAAAGGATCTCTCTAAGGTTAAACCTCAGATCCAAACCACTTAGAGTTTTACAGTTTGGCTGATTTAGCAAGTGAAGAGGTAGTAAGTGGTCAGGGTGTTGTGGGAATACAAATGATTTTATTTTGAGGAGTAGCTGTTCCTTTTTCACTGTGCCCTTCACTCTTAGGTCATGCTTCCACCCAATCAGAATCTGCTTCCCACAGCCCATTCTCTACGTTCCTATCTGCATCTCTGTATGTCAGATCAAAGTATATAATCTTTTCTAATTATAAATGCCAAAATAATCAGTCATTAAGATTATCTGAAAATAGCACTTCTGTAGTTAATTTAAAGGTTTTCTTTTCAGGTAGAGCAGCACTTAAAGCACATACCTTCTTCAGTCTTTCTGGGTCAAAGAGTAATGAGCAGAGTCCACCCTGTGATTGGTGGTCTTTGGTCTTAATAATTTCGGAGGCACTATGAATGAACAGCTTGAAATGTAAAAAGTCAATGTAAACAGAAGTTTAGGGGTTATGCCTTGTGCCTGATAATGGTGGCAGGCTCCCCTGATGAGTTTCAAGTTAAATACTATTACCTAAAGTGTGTATACAGGAAAATGGAATTTCATATGAAAAACTATAGTAAACAAGGTCATTCTTATGGCATACAAGAGAAAGCTTATGCTATTGCATTGAAAAGAATCATGTTATTTTCTCATTTATTACCCTGATAGAGGAACATTCTTCTTTATTCAGTAGGGATGACTGGCATCAGGGCCCCATCTCCTGCCATAATATGTGGTCATTGGCATAATATGTGGTCAGCCTATTCCCAAACGTTCAGTTCCTCTAACTTTCCCCAGCAACTTAGCTTCTCTGCCCTGTCATGCCATGTTATTGGTTGTCAACAGAATTAAGCATGAGGCCATAGTCCCATTCTTCCTTTTTTGGGGGGCACCTTAGATATGCCCACCTTTTAAATGTTTCTTCTTTAAGTAAGTTCTTGGCTTATTTTCTGAATGCTAAAAGACAGTATTAGGGAGTGGTGGGAAATAAATATCTATTTAAAGATCTTTTGAGGGGTAGAGGGGGAAGAGAGAAAGACAGTACTATCATCTCTTTGTCACTACCCAATCCACAAAAATGGAAGAGATAAAGTAAAAAAGCTTACCAAGAAAATCAGGATTAAGAAGAAATCTCCTCTACTGTGGCAACAGATCTTCAGGGAATAAGCTAGAAAAACCTATGTCTTAGACTTTTAAAATACTGTTTAAAATCTACCTCAGGAAGAGGACTAGGATTGGTACGTGGTTTCTTTGCATGTATATTTACAGAATGAAGATACGTTTCTTTCTCAAAGTTAAATTTACAAGTGATATGTTGATTTAGGGGATTACAACAAAACACAAATCTTACTGATGTCAACTTTTGAAAAACAGCAGCAGTATAACCACCTCGGCTTGGTTTCTTTGCAGTTGTCCTGGAGATACAGTTGCTGAATAAATATATAAATAGAAGGATTCGTTTGCTTTCCCTGTTATGGCCGTGTTCAGTAATGGCCAGCACGTGCTCCAGCCTAGCAACACATCAAGACGGTGGGACACCTGAAATCCCAAAGGAAGCCTGAAATGTCTAAGAGGGGCAAGCAGGATGGCCGCTGATTTAGGTTGGCATCATTGAAATGGTCAGCCCTCCTGGTGCTATAATCAATGAGATAGTGTCACTGTTGAGTCCACAATACAAAGAGGACAGGAGCATTGTTGGGAGAGAGCCAGAAATAGTCCACGATGCTGTACTGCATGTAGCCCAGAAAAAAGCCAAAAGCCACGTCGGTGACATTGTGCCGCCCCAGCATGACCCTGGAGAGGCCCAAGACGAAGGCCCACAGCACCACCAGCACCCTCAGCGGAATGGCCAGCACCAGGTGGTTCAGGATGAACCTCAACACCAGAGCGGCCCTTGTGGCATGGCCCGAAGGGAAGGAGTACTTGTCCACCGAGAGAGTGACAAACATGTCCATCTGGTTGTGGGCCGGGCGGCGCCTACGGACCAGCCCTTTAATCAGGGCCACCAGCAGCAGGTCCAACAGCAGAGCAAAGAGCAGGTTCATCAGCACCTCGCGCCCGGCCCAGCTGTCGCTCCTAGACAGGCAGTAGAGGGTGCCCAGCAGCCAGGGGATGCCGTGTCCCGAGATCTCCAGCAGCTTCATAAGGGGCCGCGCGCTGCCCCAGGACGAGCTCTCCCCGGCGCACACCCCCAGCTTCTTGGAGAGCCACAGGTCAATGGCCAGCAGGGAGCGCAGGGCGATGCCCAGGAAGGACGGGTTCAGGTCCATGCGGTCCTCCTCGGGCAGCGGGGGCGGGGCGGCCTGCGCGGGGCCGGCGGCGGCCAGGGGGAAGGAGCCGCGGCGGTGCACCGGGCTCTCGGACGCGCGGAGCCGGGCACAGGTGAGGTCCGCGCCGGCACCGCGGCTGCCGAGCAGGGACTGGAACTCGAACCTGCCGCCGCCATGGGCTGGGCTCCCGGGGCTGCTGCTGCTGCTCGAAGCGGAGGCGCCCAGCGGCCGTCCCTCGACGCTCCTGCGGGGGCTCGGCATCGCGGCGGGCGGTCCCGACCCCGGGACCCGACCGGGCTATAGACTGGCTCCCAGGGCCTGCAGCCTCTTCCGCTTCCGCACTGCCATCCTGGAGGGGCGGGGAGAGGAGCCGGCGAGCGCGCGATTGTGACACCTGGCGGAGACGTGCGAAGAAATCGGAATTTATTCTGAGGGAGGAGAGGAGAGAAGAGAAGAGAGGGGAGGATGTTGGGCTGGGAGGTACAGGTGAGGAAGTGCGGCGACGGGGGGAGAGGGAGGAATTTCCCTCTTCCGTGTCCGGGAGAGGGAGGAAACTCCGTGTCCGGGAGTTTGGGAGAAATAGAGCCCCGTTTAACAAAACGAAGCAAACCCTGCTTTCTCTTTTGTTTTCTTTCTTTTTAAGATCTCTTGCCCAGGGGTGTTCCTGCCTGACAAACAAGATGTGTACCTCGGGGTCTACCTCCTGAATCAGTACCTGGAGACACACTGCTTTCCTGCTGTGTTCCCTATTATGATTCAGCAGAGCATGAGATTTGAAAAGGTGATTTTTGACTTTCTCTTTGGGTTTTGCTGCCTGAAGATAATCTAATAGTTCTAAGAAAGAACAGAGTTCTTGTTAAATTATTTTGCAAATTTCCTTTTAATCTTCAGCACAGTGCAAAACCACAGCCGGCCATTGTTGGAGCAAAACCATTGTTGGAAGACTTGATTTTGCATTGCAGATCTGAGCCAACTTCTGTCAATCTAGAGCTAAATACCCTGATAGATGTTTCCTATTCTTGGAACTCCCATGGCTTTTTCTAACTGGAGCAGAGAGAGCATTTCTGAATGCTCTCAGAGGTGTTAGAGGCTATTGCATTACTTTTATGAAAGGGATTATTAATAAACTGCAGACTTTAGGGAAAAAACATTTTTAGATCTAGAAAAATAATGAGAAACTATAACCAAAGTAGTTAACTCCTGTTACTGAAATCCTGTAACAAAACAAGAAGGTTCTTAGGTTTACTGAATTTCCTTAGGTCATACCTGATTTATTTACAATGTTAGCTACAATGATAAAGGCTAGATTCCATTCCAGTGAAAACCATAATGATATAAATAGCCAAAACATAACCAACCCTTTTTTCACTAAAGTATTTAATAGAATATTAGTTTCATTACTATGCAATCACTGACAGTCCCTTACAGTTTTTGTTTTGGAATTTGGAGTTGAAATCAGTTTTAACTTAATAAGTCTAATGATTTGCTCCAAATGATGTCACAGAAGTGGATCTTTTGGAGAGAGAGAGAGGCACCATGGTAGAGCATATCACTTTGAAAGATCTAGAAGATGGTGCCCAGAAAATGCCCTATCTGTTTTGATCTGAGGTTGGGAGAAGAAATGAAGATCGATTTTCTGAAGGGCTAGGGTTATATGTAATATTTTTATAAACCACAGACTATTAATTAACATAAAGAATGTACCAAACTGGTTGGGTAAATGAGGAGAGAAACAAATGGCTGTTACCTTGGAACATACAGTCAGAATCTAAAGGAACCTACTTCTCCCATTTTGATGTTGGGAGTGGGGAAAAGTAGGTGGTAACAATGCAGTCTTTTTTCCCCCAAGAATTTTTCTTACTAGTTTTATCAATTTTGAATTTCCTCTGTGGAAGCCTTTTAAAATATTTTAATAAGAAGCCCAAGGATATAAAATCACAGAAGCACAAAATGGTAAATCTGTAAATGACTGTGAAGGGTTATCTAGTCCATCCACGATTTGTAAAAGAGGGGGTCTGAGTCACATTTTAGATGCTACTACTGCTCTGTTGAAAAGCTGTACATTTGAGATTACTAGTCTCACATATCATGGAACCATCTCTTAATTTTATGAAATGCAACTAAATAATTGTCTCTTGCATGAGTTGTTTGGGTTTGTATTCCAGCTTTCTTCCAGTTGATTCTGCTTCTTTGTATCTGTTCCATTCTCTAGCTGCAAATACTTGCAGCAAGTAGGGAAAACATTTTCTTTCTTGGATCTTCTGTATAATTCAGAATTGGATGTTCTACAGCATGTGGATAAACAAACAAATTACTCATAAAAAATGCATGTTTGGGCAGTTCATGTTGATCATTTGCACCCCAAGAGAAAATCCTTGATATGGGTATATTAGTTTCCTAGAGCTGTCATACAAAAGTACCATAAATGGTGTGGCCTAACCAACAGAAACTTACTGTCTCATAGTTATGGAAGCTAGAGAAGTCTGAAATCAGAGTGTTGACAGGGTCATGCATTCACTCTGTGTGTGTGTTGTTAAAAATTTGTTTTGAAGGGGAGGCCATTAGGCTGGGGTGACTCCAGTGCTTTAAGTTCCTGTGTAAGCAAACTGACACTCAGTGTAGACAGTGAAATGAAACTAGATCAGATACCACCAACTAACCTCTAAATAGAGACTTTACCAATCAGAAACTGCCAGCTGACCTCTAAATAGGGTCTTTCCACTCTAACCAATCAAATATCTTTTCTTTGTCTTATTCCCACCTCAGCCTATAAAAGCTTATTACCCATGACTACAGCAATGGAGCTCTCTGAACCTGTTCTGGTTCTGAGTGCTGCCTGGTTCATGAATCATTCTTTGCTCAAATAAACCCTATTAGATTTATTTTGCCTAAAGTTTTTCTCCCAACAGTTTCTGTGCTTCAAATTTCCTTTTATAAGGACACCAGTCACATTGGATTAGGGGCTCACCCTACTCCAGTATGACCTCATTCTAACTTAAGTAATTACATCTGCAATGTAAATTTGTATTTGCAAATTAAGGTTACATTCTGAGAAACTGGAGTTAGGACTTCAGCCTATGATTTTGGGGGGAGAGGGCGGAATACAGTTCAACCTATAACAATGGGCGAAGTGAAAGGATGCAATTATTGAAATAATTTGGGCAAAAAAGAGTTACCCACATTTACATGATAAATCCAAGTTAGTAAGACAAAAGTGAATTACAAGGGACAGGCTCAATTTTTTTCTTTAAAGCAGCCCTGGCTTTGAACCCAGGAGCATATTTTAACCATGCTTAAGTTAAACACCATTTAAATCAGAACTTTAAACCCTGAAATTAAACTCTGCTGAAAACTTTGTTTTTCACAGGGTGCTAGATTTCAGGGAGAAGGGCATGATATGCCTTTTATTTAGGTCCTATTATTTAGGTCCCTCTTATCACAAGACAAACTATACAGATTTGGCAATGGCTAGACAGATATCACAGTGTTTTTCTTGTGTTTCATGGTACACTTAAAACTTACAGCTGGGCTCAGTGCTCACGCCTGTAATCCTAGCACTCTGGGAGGCCGAGGCGGGTGAATGGCTCAAGGTCAGAGTTTGAGACCAGCCTGAGCAAGAGACCCTGTCTCTACTAAAAATAGTAAGAAATTAATTGGTCAACTAAAAATATATAGAAAAAATTAGCCAGGTGTGGTGGCACCTGCCTGTAGTCCCAGCTACTTAGGAGGCTGAGGCAGGAGGATCGCTTGAGCCCAGGAGTTTGAGGTTGCTGTGAGCAAGGCTGACTCCACAGCACTCTAGCCCAGGCAACAGAGTGAGACTCTATCTCAAAAAAACCCCAAAAAACAAAACTTACAAGTCTCTCTCTCTTTCAGATTCTTTGTGGGAGTGTAGCTACTAGTACTTAGCTTTTCTTTTGTGTTACACATAGGTAGAATTTCTATTTATTTATTTATTTATTTATTAGCACAACCAATTGCTTGGGAAGAGAAGTCATTCATTCAGTTAACATTTAGTGAGTGTTGTCATATAAGTACTGCACGCTAACCCATTGCACTATTGCGACTCCAACATTTAGTGAGTGTTGTGTACAGAATGTTTTTCTAGGTATTCAAGATTCTTTGAGCTTAATGCATGATATGCTGTTAGCAACACACAATGGAGCTATGTCAAGTTGATGACATTTTTGGCATGTGGCAAATTTAGCTCATTCAGATTTGGTTGCACTTGTTATTGTGTTAATTTTCATTCATTTATTTTATAATCATTTGTTGAACTTTTAACCACACACCTGTTAAAGGGGCTTCTGTTGAATTCTCAAATATTATATGACTGTATTTTGCATATGCTAATTATTTTGAAGAATCTAAAATTTCTATGAGCACTTATTAATAAGTGCTCATAGCACATTATTAATTAAGATTTATTTTCCCCATTTTTCTCTGTAGGTATTTGAAAACGCAATAGATCCTGGAGCTGTAGCGGACCTTTTAGAAAGTAGGTATTCTCAAAAACAACAACAACAACAAAACAAAAAACAAGCCAAAAACCAAAATAAAACAGAACAAAAATAAAAGGCTACTGTGTATAAATCACAGAGAAAATTCTGCTGTTTTCTAAACTGTGATACTTCCATGTTTGATCCATATTTATACTTAATGAGTCTAATAAAGATTTGAATTATGTTCTTTATTCCATTGCAAACCCTTTTCTAAATATAGATAGGATATACTGGATGGCATGATTCTGTTTGTTTATATTTATAAAAATTTAGTGGTTTTTGTATATTCACAGAGTTGTGCAACCATCACCACAATATATTAGATCATTTAATTACTTAGAATATTTTCATCACTGCATAAAGAAACACTATACCAATTAGCAGTCACTTCTCATTCCCCACCAAACCTCTCAGCCATAGGCAACCACTAATCTTTCTGTCTCGATAGATTCGCTTATTCTTGATATTTCATATGAATGAGATTAGACAATTTATGGTCCTTTGTGACTGGCTTCTTTCACTTTGCATGTTTTCAAGGTTTACCCTTATTCAGTGTTTTCACATTAATTGTGGTGCCAGGTGTTGGTTTTACATAAATGCCCTATATCAGGTTGAGGAATTTCCCTTCTATTCTCAGTTTATTGAGTTTTCATCATGAAAGAATGTTGAATTTTATCACATGCTTTTTCTGTATCAAGGTGATCATGTGGTTTTTATCCTTTATTTTATTGATATATTAGTTGGATTTTAGATATTAAACCAACCATGCATTCCTAGGGTAACTCAGTTAATTATAGAGTATAATCCTTTCTATATGTTGCTGGATTTGGTTTGCCTATATTGTGTTGAGTTTATTTATTTATTTTTGAGACAGAGACTTACTCTGCTGCCCAGGCTAGAGTGTTGTGGCACCAGCCTAGCTCACAGCAACCTAAAACTCCTGGTCTCAAGAGATCCTCCTGTCTCAGCCTCCCAAGTAGCTGGGATTACAGGTGTGCACCACCATGCCCAGCTGACTTTTTTCTGTTTTTAATAGAGATAGGGTCTCACTCTTGCTTAGGCTGGTCTTGAACTCCTAAGCTCAAGTAATGCTCCCACCTTGGCTTCCCAGAGTGCTAGGTTTACAGGCATGAGCGGCCCGGTGTTGAGATTCTTTGAGTCTACGGTCATAAGAGATATTGGTCTGTAGTCTTGTTTTCTTATGATGTCTTTGGTTTTGGTAATACTGGCCTCATAGAATGAGTTGGGAAGTGTTCTCTCCTCTTTTGTTTTTTGAAAGATTTTGTGAATGATTAGTAATAATTCTTTAAACATTTGATAGAATTCAGATGGTAAAGCCATCTGGACTTGCCTTTGGGTTGTTTTTTGATTACTAACTTAGTCTCTACTTGTTTTAGGTCTCTTTCAATTTTCTATTTTTTCTTAAGTCAGTTTGGTAGTTTGTGTCTTTCTAGGAATTTGTCCATTTTATTTATCTAATTTGTTGACATAAAGCCATCCATAGTATTCCCTTAAAAACCTTTTTATTTCTGTAAAATCAGTGTTAATGTCCCCTCTTTCATTTGTGATTTTAGTCATGAGTCTTTAAGATTTATCAGTTTTTTTGATCTTTTAAAAGAACCAACTTTTTGGTTTCATTGATTTTTCTCTATTGTTTTTCTATTGTCTGTTGCATTAATTTCTGCTTAATCTTTATTATTCTTTCCGTTTGCTTTAGGTTTAATTTGCTCTTTTTTTTCAGTGTCTTGAGGTGAAAGGTTAGTGGATGATATGATTGTTTTTGTTTGTTTTTTTGGTTTTGGTACGATTTTTAGTCATATTCTTAAGCTTTATGAAAATTTCAACTGAGATTTTACTCAGTTGAAAGAATTAGGACCAAGATCACAGATAATAGCAGAACACAGAGAAAGCATCAGAAGCAAGTACCAGGTGAGCTGAGGCAGTGCTAGGTAGAGGACAGAATCAGGAGCAGCCTAGGCATCAGGCTGATATATGAGGTGGAATAAGGAGTTTGAAGTTTTACAAAGAGTGAGTCAGTGCCTACAGATGTCTCGTGCAGGTTAGGAAAGTCACTGAGAAGTGTTCTGGAACACAAGCGCAGGGCAATAAGGCAATGGTTCAGAAAGCAAGATAGATTATAAGGAACTAGAAAATCTATAGTAATCAGAGGTTAAAGATAAAGTGGAAGAGTCAGAAACAGTGATTTTTCCAAAAGAAAAATTCAATCATTTTAAATGATTGTATAAGAATTGGGATATTTTCATTTCAGTTCCCAAATATTAATCAATATTATTAATTAATTATATCAATATTAATCACATTGATTTATTGATATTAATTATATTAATATTAATATTTCAGTTCTCACCTGAGTGGTGGACTGAAGCATAAAATAATATGAGAACAGTTCTGTAGGTCACTTACTAGTGATTTGCTCTGTCCTTGATATTTAAAGCAAGTATGAAGTATGTGATGCCATTCCAGCAGGCAATTAAAATCTGTAGATATATTATCACGTATCCTAATTAACTTGTTCTGTGGAAGAATGAGATTTTTCAGTGAAGTATCCTGTGCATAAGAAGCACAGGCCTTGATAACAGACTACTTGGGTGTCAGTGTTAGCCAGTGTGACCTTGCCCACATTACTATATTTTGCTCTTTGAGATTTAGTTTTCTCATTCATAAAAATGAGGATAGCCATTATACTGGACTCCTAGGGTTGTGATGAGAATTAATTGAATATAAGGAATTTAGAGCCTGAAACAAATTAAGGGCTTAATATTACCATTAGGGTGATGGTTGGCAAATGTATTTCCCCCTCCAATTTTGAAAACCTAAAATTTCAGGCTCTCTTGGCTTTTAAGTTTCTTAGCATTTCAAGTGTTACCCTATGCATTCATATATTTTTCATAAATTTACAAAGTGAGAATTTATCTTTTATTGTCTATTTTAAAATATTTTTACTTATAATATTATTTTGTGGGAATTATCTTTATTGATTTTTTTATTATATCATTTGTTTTAAATTATCTCTAAGATTTAAATTTTATTCTTATCCTTATAGACATTGTATATGGGCTCACTATTTTTAAATATATTTTGAACTCAAGAAACATGTAAAAAGTTATATATTTTATGTCCAATTTGCATAGCCATATAGCATACTGTCTTAAACAAATTTCTATGTGTTCATGGATAACAATTGAATCTTAATTTTTTAAGATGAAAGTGCATTGTTATTTTAGTGCTCTGTGAATATACTTTTAAGAGACAATATTGCATCTATTTTGCCAATAGTTTTCAGGAGGTGAAATGCTATTTTTATAACTCAGTTACTCCATTCTCTCAATTGATTAATTCTAGAAATACCCGATTTGTTGTTAGCATGGTGCTTATTTTTAATTATTAATATTAATGTAAATGGGTGTTTGACAGTTTTAAACTTAGCAATTATTGAAAATTTGTGGCAATTTTTTGAAGTGTTAAATCTCATATATTTTTTTTTTAGGCTTCCTAACCAGGTTTGAATTAATACAGCTAGTCCCTCCAGGTAATGTGCCATTAAATACATTTCTAATTTAGCTCAATATAATTTTAAAAGGATTTTGGCATGACACAATGGGGACTGGTACTTAAAAGTTGTGCTTTTGAATAACATATAACTTTATATGTATATAAGTTTATATAACATACACTTTTTTTTGCCATCTATTGAATTTTGTCCACTTTCAGAAGATTAACTTTATAGGGTTTGGTAGCACTGAGCATAAATTAAATAAAGCTCTTTGTCTTTCCATTTTTAATAACTTTAAGTATCATCAAATAATTTTTCAGTCCTGGCTCAGCTTGTTTCAAGTTTTGGCCTTTGGCTATGTTCTAATTTGTGGGGTGTCTGTGTGTGTGAAACCTAAAGTGATCTTATCTATGAGATGCTAGAACAGGGTTGGTAAACTCCAGCTCACAGGCAAATGCTGCCTGTAGTCTATTTTTGTATGGCCTGTGAGCTAAGAATGGTTTCTACATTTTTTATTATGATTGGATTTTGAATTTCATACACTATAAAATTCATAATTTTTAAATGTACAATTTAGTTGTTTTTAATATGTTCTCAAGGTTGTACAACCATCACCACTATCTAATTTCAGAACATTTTCATTACCCCCAAAAGAAATCCTGTACTCATTAGCGATCAGTCCCATTCCCTTCTCAGCCTCCCGAGTAGCACCTGCCACCGCACCTGGCTTTATTACCAAAGTTTTTAATCAGTTATGCTCAATACATGTATACTTCCCATATTTTGTTGCATTATTTTGATATTTTATTGTGTAAATTTTTCCTTTTCTTAAGAGAACATAGGAGAAGGAAGGTGAGCCTGGCAGAGGCCTCCAAGAAAGCAGAGGGCCGTGGTCCTGCCTGGTACAGGTGTCACTGGAGCAGTCTGGGGCCTAGTGAAGTGGAGTGGACCCGGAGTCTGTAGTTCTCTCCTCTGCTTCTTGATTCCTTGGCAAAGGCCTCCCTGGAAACAGACAAGAAGCCCAGTCCCTGTGAATCTAGGGATAGACGCTCTTGGAGATGTCATTACTTTCTTAGGTGGATAGAACTGAGCAGCTGCCTCCTTCCTGCTTTCCAGAAATTCTCACTGAATGGTTTTCAGCTTAAAAGTGACAGGCTGAAATCAGGGCACTGAGTTTTTTTCCATAAGTTTTTTTTTTTTTTCCTTATTTGACCCAGTTTTATGTTCAAATGTATATCACTACTAACTGGCAAATTATATTTTAGTATGCTAATAAAGAAGCAGCATGACTATTTTGGTCTCATTTAATTTTTACATGAATTTTTTTAAAAAATCACCCAATACTTAAATGATATTGCTATAAAAATTTTAACTAACACAAAAGTATATAAAATAAAATGTCAAAAGCCCCATTCAACAACTCCTAACAGTAATGAATAGTTAAGTAGTATTAATAATTTGATGTGTATCTTTTTTAGACCTTCTAAAATGCATTTAGTATATCCGGCCAACCCTAAAATGCATCCACACATGTGCATGCATACACACACACACACACACACACACACCCCTTATATACAGTTGATCCTGCATATCCTTGGGGTCCACATCCGTGGATTCAACCAACTGGGGATTGAAAATGTAGTTAGGCCTATGATGGTTACAACTGTATTGAGCATGTACAGATTTCTTTTTCTTATTATTACATAAACAATACTGTGTGACAACTATTTTATATAACATTTATATTGAATTAGGTATCATAGATAATCTAGAAATGATTTAAAGTATATGGGAGGATATGCCTAGGTTATATGCAAATACTATGCCATTTTATATAAGGGACTTGAACATACGAGGATTTTGGTATCTGCAGGGAGTCCTGAAACCAACTCCCTGCAGATACTAAGGCATGACTATATATTAAATATAGTATATGTAAATATAAATATATTTAGTGTTTAGTATATATAGGAATGTGTCTGTATATATATTTTAGGGTTGGTTGAATATGCTCAATCCTGGTTTCCTGGTCACATGAAAAACATATGGCAAGAAATACTAAGTTTTAAAAATCAGGGCCGGGTGTGATAGCTCACGCCTGTAATCCTAGAACTCTAGGAGGCTGAGGCAGGAGGATTGCTTGAGCTCAGGTGTTCCAGACCAGCCTGAGCAAGAGCAAGACCTTGTCTCTACTAAAAATAGAAAGAAATTAGCCAAAATAACTACAAATAGAAAAAATTAGCTGGTCATGGTGGCACGTGCCTGTAGTCCCAGCTACCCGGGAGGCTGAGGCAAGAGGATTGGTTGAGCTCAGGAGTTCCAGACCAGCCTAAGCAAGAGCGAGACCCTGTCTCTACTAAAAATAGAAAGAAATTAGCCAAAATAACTAAAAATAGAAAAAATTAGCTGGGCATGGTGGCACGTGACTGCTACCCGGGAGGCTGAGGCAGGAGGATTGCTTGAGCCCAGGAGTTTGAGGTTGCTGTGAGCTAGACTGATGCTACAGCACTCTAGCCTAGGCAAGAGAAAACGAACAACAAAAAAAATCTGTCTCAAACGAAAAAAAATCAAGTTGCAGAACATGCATATTCGACATACACATACTCATATATATGTTAAATATACATATTCTACAACTTGCTTTTTAAAATTTAATATATCTTGGACTGCCATATATTTTTCATGTGACTAGAAATCCATGTCTGAGAAGAATAGCTAGCAAGAATAGCTATTTGGAAACAATGATTGGAGAATATTTGAGCTGAGTGTGTGCACACTGGCTATAATTCAAAAGTTAATCAGATGCAGAATGGGAGCCTTGTTAAACTTGCTTTCTTTTCATCTGCAGTCCTTCGATTTCAGATTGCAATTTTAGGGAAATTAAATTTAAGTTGCTCAGAATAACAATTTTGCTTAGCTTCAGGTTCAGTGCAGATCAATCCATTAATTTGTTCAACACATGTTATTGTGGCATACCTTACACATGGCCTGCACCGTCTTCCTAGTTTGATGCTGGTGGCACCAGGCACACAGCAGTGGCAGTGAGCCAAGCCCTCATGATCTGCTGGTCTGTGATACTAACTGAGTAAAAGTGATTTGCTAAAAGTGTCATGTGGACTGCATTGTGGGGCCACATGGGCCACATTTGAGTTCTCAGGGACCAATTTCTTCATGGGCTGAAATTGTTACCTTTTCATTTTACGGTAGCTATTACTATATTGTTGACATTTTTACACTTAACTTTCAAGCACACTTGTTAGAGTCAAAAGATGTTTTATGACCATTAAGTTGATAATACAAGTAAGTTAATAGTAAGAGTAATAATACCCAGCTTTGCGAATGGCTTTATTGTTGAAGAATGAAGAGATCCAATGATTTTGCCGCTAGTTCTCCAGTTTTCAAAGGTGGGAAAAAATGAATGGACACAGGGGGGCAGCGCAATCCTTTTTGACAGTGAGCTTGGTGCTTTCCTTTTATTAACCTGTTAAATAAATACCTTCACTTTGGGTAAGTCACGTTGTTCAGTCCAACTGTAGAAGCCTATTTTAGCTTGATTTTACACTTCCATAGTGATGCTGACAAGGCATCAGCAAGGAAAGAACTTATGCCTCAGATAATCTGATTTTGAATTCCTGCTTGCCATGTGGCATCAGGACAAGTGTCAAACTCTCAGAGCCTCAGTTTCCTCAGCTGTGAAGAGGGAATCAAATGAGATCCTGTATCTGGAAGCAGGTTGTCGTTTCTGATATGCGGTATACATTTTAGATATTTTTCAAGTCGATGTTGTTATTAAAAGTATGTTTCTCTAAAAGTCTCATTTGTTTCCTTTTTGGGAGAGAAGTTGTCATTGATGGCAATGATGATGTCACTGTCTATGCCATTAGTTTATTAAGAACCCTGAGTTCTTTCAGATACTTTGCTTGGCCTATGAGACTTGCTCAGCCTGTGAATATATTTACTATTTATAACTCAGCTCTTGCTGTAACATCCCCCGAGTGTGCTGCCATTTTCACACTGGGTGGCAGTTGGGATCTGTAGGAAATCATCAAACCAGAGAGAATATATTGAGAAGCTTCACTGCTTTCTATTTGTTTAATTGTAAATTGGCACGTCACTTCACATTTGTTTAACCCTGTTTCAGTCTAGTGTTATTGCTATGATTCCAAAGATAAGCTATGAGCTCACTTCCAAGTTTCTGATCTCTTATTTTTATGTAAATCTTTGCTAAATATAGGAATAATAATTTAGTAGCTATCATTTTAGATGCAGTGACAATGGCTAGCCAAAACTATATGAAAGGAAAGAGGAAAAAGGAACAGCCTACTGTGTAGAGCATCATACCACACATCCAGGTGTTTGTTCCCAGTGGGAACATAATAGTATTCACAGAGACCTGAGTAGTCCTGAGGTCACTGCGGGGCTGGTGTCAAGGAGCAATCTGGATGGTGGCAGGTAATGTCAGGCACTGTGCTCGGCACTTTACACACGTTTGCCATTGGTCCTCACAGTAGTCCTAAGGGACAGGTACTGTGATGACTTTTACGTTTTCCTGAAGAGGAAACTGACTTTAAGAAGTTTACATAATTTGTCTAAGGTCACATATTTGGTAAGTGGTGGGGCGTGGATTTGAACCCAGCCCTTTCTCACCTTAGAACCTGAGTTCTTAACCTCTATACTATAGGCTTCAGGGGAAAGTTGCATTTTGTTGTTAGGTGAGGAAATTAGCACATAATTTCCCATTTTTAAGTTGCACTTCAGAGTCTCTGGATGGAGGAAGAGTCTGTCTTTGGCCACAAAGGTGGGGGCAGTTATGCCCATCACAGGGAGCACTGTAAAGGGAGCATTGATGGAAAAGGAAGCCAGGACGAGCCTAGTACATGAAGCACAAGATTAATATTAGAATCGAACCCACCTTCCCACTTGCCTCCATCCTCCTCTTTATCTCTTTACTCCCAGAAATCTACTATCATGGAAACTGCTTCTTTTAATTCATGGCACTTGTAATTTTTATTATTTTTTTTTTTTTTGAGACAGAATCTTGCTCTGTTGCCTGGGCTAGAGTGTTGTGGCATCAGCCTAGCTCACAGCAACCTCAAACTCCTGGGCTCAAGTGATCCTCCTGCCTCAGCCTCCTGAGTAGGTGGGACTACAGGTGTGCACCACCATGCCTGGCTAATTTTTCTATTTTTAGCAGAGATGGAGTCTCACTCTTGCTCAGGTTGGTTTGTAACTCCTGAGCTCAAGCAATCTTTCCTCATTGGCCTCCCAGAGTGCTAGGATTACAGGCATGAACCACTGCTCCTGGCCTGTAATTGTTAATTATACATTTATTTGTATAATTATTTAATACTTATAGACTGGAAGCTCCAGGAAGGCAGGAATCATATCCATCTTGTTTACTAGTATATATCCAGTGTCTACAACTCTTGGCACATAGTAGGTGCAGTACTGAATACAGTATTTCTTGAGTGTATAAATGAAAAAAATATTGAAAAATGAATGAAGGGTAAGAGTTGGAAGAGATTTTAGAGCGCATTTTTTCTTTTTTATAGTTGGCATTTATTCTCTTTTTTATAATTGTGGAAACTAGGTCCCAGAGAAGGTTATTAATGCTTATTGAGTGGCTAATGAAAGCAGGCACTTAAGTTATCTCACTTTAATCCTCACATTAGTTCATTCCAGAAGCATTTATCAAGGACCCACTGTGTTCTAGGCGCTGTTCCACAGATTTGGGGGCAGTGCCCAAGGTATTCACCGCTCTTCTCTGAACGTCATTGAAATTCAATTTAAAAACGTCTGTCTTTAGTGATATTTCAAGGGGGCTATGCAAGATTTTGACAGTGTGGCACCTTTTCAGGTGTGATTATCTTGGCTGGGGCCTGTACTAGCTGAACTGCTCTGACTTCACACCTTTCTAGGGAGAGCCCTGCCAGAAGTAGAATGATGAACGGAAGAGACAAAGTCACTGCTTTCCATGGAACATTCTTGGAAGCAGATCATAAACAAATACATGAACAAAAATGTCAGTGATAAATATTATGTTGAAAGTAAAATAGGGCGATGTGATAGGGAGTGGAAGGGAAAGAATGCTCCTTTGGGTTGGGTTGCCACCTTTCTGGTGAGATGACATTTAAACCAAACCTGTCATTCAATAGGAGGGACCCAGCCATGTACAGATCTGGGGAGGGAACATTACAAGGAGAAAAACAATAGGGCAAAACCCTAATGTAGAGGCAAACTTGGTGTGTTTGAGGGACAACAAGAAGGGCAGCAGGGATGACAGGGAACGGCCAAGGGGGAAGGTGACAGTAGATGAAGTAGGAGAGGTGATCAGAGGCCTGATGATACAGAGTCTTGATGTATCTTGATGGCTAGGGTAAGGTGCTTATATTTTATTCTCATGTGACGGGAAGCCTATTGGAAGGTTTTAAGCAGGAGAAAGGCACAGTCTGATAAAATATCACAGAGTGTGGAAAATGGATTTGAGTGCAGGAGAATGGAAGCAGGGAGGTCACCTAGGAGGCCATGGAGTAGTCCAGGAGAGAGGTAGGTGGACTGGAGTGGTAGCTATGAAAATGGAGAGAAGGTGTCCCTTGTTTGGCTTTATATTTATTTTGGCAATAGTGTCAACAGGACTTGCTAATGGATGGATATAAGCAGTGACAGAAAGAGCAGAATCAAGGATGGATCCTAGAGTTTTGACTTGAGTGACTAGTGCTGGTTCCTCTGATGAGAAGGCTATGAAAGAGCTGATGTATGGGGGAAAAAAATCATGATCTCTATTTTGGAACTATTAGGGTGGAGATACCATAAGATGTTTAGGGTAAACTTTAAAGATGAACAAGATCTCAACAAGATAAGAGAAAGGAATAGCATACACGGTGGAAGTACATTGCAGAGGAGGGAAGATACATCATTAATCATTTGTGGCTGGAGTGTGTCTGGAAGGGAAGAGTGGAAAGAAATGCTATTATGGCAAAAAGTATGGGGCTGGGCGCAGTGGCTCACGCCTGTAATCCTAGCACTCTGGGAGGCCGAGGCGTGCGGATTGCTGGAGGTCAGGAGTTCAAAACCAGTCTGAGCAAGAGTGAGACCCCATCTCTACTATAAATAGAAATAAATTAATTGGCCAACTAATATATATAGAAAAACTTAGCCGGGCATGGTGGCACATGCCTGTAGTCCCAGCTACTCGGGAGGCTGAGGCAGTAGGGTTGCTTGAGCCCCAGGAGTTTGAGGTTGCTGTGAGCTAGGATGACACCACGGCAGTCACTCTAGCCTGGGCAACAAGGCGAGACTCTGTCTCAAAAAAAAAAATATGGAATACCTTCTTTTTGCACTTGGATCCTCTCCTCATTAGAACCCAAACATTCCATATTAAATGGAATAAGTAGGAAGAAGAAATTAGTCCATCAATTATTTTCTACAGTTGATATACCAAAGGAATAAAAAGATAACCTCATCATAATTCTTTGCACAAGTAAAATGGCATCACCAAACACAAAACCACTTCATTGGCTACTGTTAGTTTTTTGCTGGTTCTCCATGCAGGGTCCACTTTCAGTCCAAATCGCTGTGTGGCACCTGCCCTACAGTAAAGGATAGCTCAGATGGCAGCTTCTCTGTTCTTCAGCTCTGTAGCTGTCAATCCTGTTAGACCCAAGATCTTTTGGTAATGAGTATTTTGTAGCATGCCTTTTACCACACCGAAAATAATAGTCATAGTTAACATAATCAACTTATATAAATCACTGCAAAAAATCAATATAATATTTCAACGATAATATGAAATAGTAATAAAAGGAAAGTGGCTCATAACGAAATGCGCATATCAATATGTACATGTTGAACAAAATGAAGTACTGGATTTACGTGTAACATGGTTTTGAAAATGCCAAAGAGGTCTGGGTAAAGATTCAAACAAAACAGAGTACAGTTTCCTGATTTACACAGTACTTGCATTCCTGAAAAATTCAGTATATTTTAAAATCATTCAAAAAATACTTTGTATTTATGTGTAACATAGGTTCTAGGCTCAGATAATTATAAAATGGATTTTGGTCCACAAGAATGTCTGATAAGACATTAGAAAGTCATTGGGGGTGGGGAAAATTGTTCAATGTGCAGGAGTGTCTTGAGTGCTGCAGGATACCCTGGCACTTCCGGCTTCTGCCCATGAAATGTCCCCACAAATAACCCAAATGTCTCTGGGGTTGGTGCCACCCCTGCTGAGAACCACAGCTGTAGCTGTTCCCTGGGCCATTCGCATCCATGCATCACGGAAACACTGAACCCCAGTCTAAATTGTCACCATTGTGTGCATTGTTCCTGTCCTGTCCCCAGGCCCCGGCTTAAGGATTGTCTTCAGTAAACACTTGTTGAAGGAAAGAATGGATAGATAGCTGGAAAGATAGATTTTCTTCTTTGTCCTGTCTTGTGGAGCAACCCTTTAGTCTTTTTTTTTTTTTTTTCTGTTATGACTTGGGAAGACACTTAAAAATTATCCATGAGATAAAAAGTAGTAGAAGTGATTTTCCTTTTGAATAACAGGTGCTGAGATCGAAATGTCTATTTGTGTGTGAGTTGTATCTCTGCCATCATCTGTCTGAACTATTATTTTGTTAAACTTAGGGGTGTAGACATATATACTTATTGTTTTTCTCTTTTCTTTCTAGCGTGGGACGAGTTGGCCTATTATGAAGAAAACACACGGGATTTTCTCTTCCCTGAGCCCAAGCTGACACCTTCCCACCCGAGGATGTGTAGGGAGGTGCTCATGAAGACGGCTATAGGTTTTCCAGTAAGTGATCTGTGTCCATCTGGGCCTCAGTTGGGAGAGACCTTGGGACATGGCCACGTGTCCCTGACAGTTTGATCTTAGCTCGCTTCGTCTTGGTTGGTGCCCCTGTTGATCTGTTTAGATGCCCAACTCAGGATAACAAATTATGCTGATTTCTACTATTGATCTGACAGGTGGAAGTCTTATTATCTAATCAGGCTAAATAATTGCCAGATTCACATCGTCTCACATAGTTACAAAATGGTTGCTTTTTTCAACCTCCTCTTATTGCACATGAACAGAAAGATTTGTTTAGTCATAGCTGTTGAGTAAATAAAGTAGCAATGGTAGTAATGTTCTCTCTCATTTATTTTGTGCTTTCCATTTTTTTACATATGATTTTCCTCCTAACAATTCTCAAGTTAGCCAAGACCAACTGGTTATGGTGTCCATTTAACAGAGGGGGAACTAACAGAGGCTCATAAATTGCTATTACTGAAGGATCTTAAGAGATACAGCAGATATTCTGTTGATAGTCTATTTGGAGGGCATTATCTGAACCCAAATTCAAAATATTCATTTTGATGTTATCTGTGATGATTTCTATCTCCATAGCAACCCTGATGATTTTCTTGACTTTTATGTTGGATGACCTCCATTTGAAGGGCCACACCTTGTTGAATGATAAGAAGCATATTTAATACTTAGCTTTTCTCTGTGTGTTAGTTCATGTGCATTACTGTAAAGAAATACCTGAGGCTGGGTCATTTATAAAGAAAAGAGGTTTATTTGGCTCACAGCTCTGCAGACTGTACAAGAAGCATGGCACCAGCATCTGCTTCTGGTCAGGGCTTCAGAGAGCTTCCAGTCAAGGTGGAAGGTGAAGGGGGAGCAGGTGCATCACCTGGCAAAAGCAGGAGCAAGAGAGGGAGGAGGAGGTGCCAGCCTCTTTCGAACAACCAGCTCTCCTGAGTTATAAAGCGAAAACTCACTCATTATCATGGGGAGGGCACCAAACTATTCATGAGGGATCTGCCCTCATGACCCAAATACCTCTCACCAGGCTCCCCAGTTTAAAACTGGGGATCAGATTTCAACATGAGATTTGGAGGGGCATAGCACCCTTATTACCCCATGAATTGCAATTATTATTGTTTGATGAAATGTTGTCTCCATTTTGAGAGTCCTATGCAGGATATATAATATGCAGGACCTCTTTTTCTATGAGGCTTATCAAGACAGAGCTTTTAATTCTAATACTTCAAGCAGCAAACATTCATCAAAGGTTGTCTTAATCAGAATTCCTAAGGGCTATAACTTTAAGTCCTTCATTATCTTTGAGGGTTTGGTGAATATCACTGAAACCATTTTGTTTCTCCAAGATCATCTTTGTGTATCTCTTGTATCCATGGTACATGTGAGCTGCTTGCCTTTATTATTTTGAATTATTGGGATATTGCTCTTCAGAAGCTGAAAGGGAATAAAAACTGATGAGAATCAGGTGGAGGATACTCTGTCATATTAATTTTGGTTTGCCCCAATTCTCTGTTAAATAAAAGCCATCTATAAACACTGAGCTGGTACCCAGGTAAGTATCAAGACAAAGAGAAACATACTTTCTTATAGTTTCTCTAGTGTTAACTCTATTTAACTTTATAGGCATAAATAGGAAGAAGGGCCTATAGGAAGTTGTGTTTATAGTTATTTATCAACACAGATAATTATCAGAGAAAGGGATTTAAAAATGTGTGAAAATATCCCTGTATATTAAAGTATTGATTCTTATAATTAAATCAATCAAACTATATTTTTTAAGAATTTATAAAACATAGGGGCTCAATTTCTCTCAAATGTTCTATAAATCAAAATATTTAAAACCAAATCACCATAGTTTTAATCATAGTTGATGTTTACTGTGTGCTCGCTATATACCAGGCACTGTGTGAGCTCATAACAAGGATTATCTTCAGTCCTCCTTCACTTTGCGAAGTGGCTACTATTTCCCCCCCTTTTTGGATGGGGATGCTGACGTAGGGGTTTCAGAAAAGTGCTCAGTGTCACAGAGCTGGTAAGTAATCGAGCAGGAATTCTCACACTGGCCTGCGAGGCTTCAGGGTTTACACTCTTACTCACTACATGATGCTAATTTTCTCATATTTATTTCAGCCCACTATCCCATTTCTTTTCATTAATATTGTGGGAAGTGAGAATGAATTACATGTGCAGGTGAGGCAAATCTTTTATTTATTTTCTCTTCATTTGCCAATTCATTCATAATTAGATTTATTTCCTCCACTAAAATGTAACTTTTTCTTTGTATTTTCATATTTTGTTGTTTTATTTCTCTGGATACCTTAATAGTCTCTCTCCCCATGTCCCCCACCACCGTGAGGTCAAGAATTTTCTTTTTGGGGGAAATAGTATCTGTTCTCATGTTAAAACTGAATTTGTAAAGTGAGCAGAAAGAGTACTTTTTAAAAATTATTTTTAATTGAAAATTTATTGTTTTTCTTTAGTGTAATGATAGAAAAATTACACTGTTAAGTCCTTTTATTGACCTAATCATTATCACTATCATCCCATTGCTAAGGAGATTGGAAAAGATACAGTTTCTAAATTTCATCTCTAAGCTATATTGCTATGCTAAAAACAGCCCTGTCTAAAAAGGAAAATACATCCATCTTAATTGTCTGCAAGTCACTGAAAGGAGTGGCAGTCATATAAGGCAAATAGGAGTCTTACAGGGTGTGGTTTCCTTACTGGCAGGAGACCTCCCTCCTCCTAAGCAAAGTAGGTCAGGAATTGGAAAACCTATTAGGCAGCTGCATGTACAGTGGTTAAGTATGGATTCAGATTGTCTGGGTTCAATCCCAGTTTTGTCATTAATGGCGGTGTGACTTGGGGTAAATTCCTTAATCTCTGTGTACCTTAGTTTCCTCATCTATAAAATGGGACTGTAGTAGTACCTCCCGTATTAGATGATTATTGTGAGTGTTAAATGAGATAATATATGTATAGTGTTTACATATATATATTTGTGTATATGATATACATATGTATACTTGGTATATAGTTATTAAGTACGCAATAAATATGGGCTGTTATTATTTATTATGCTGTCATTTGAGGGTTAATGCTGTTTCCCTATGAGGCAACAAGAACACTGCACAAGTCTGTGGCTCAAGAAATGACTTGTTCTGGCTCAGGCTACTGGGCCACAGGAGACCTGGGACTTGGCGCACATGTGAGAATCTTGTGATTCTACCAGTACCCACCTGTAGCACTGTGGACCCTGGAACTCTCCCCACCCTCTTCTTCACGTGGGTCATCTTGTTAACAGGAGATGAGGCTGTGCCAGTACGTTCTTTATCAAATGTCCCCTTGGATTGTCTGGCTCTGTATAACAACTGGGTGTTTATAAGCCCAGAAATATTTTCTTGAGTTGGCAGTCCGGGCCTTGCACTCTTGTGGGCATGCTGTACATTCTAGAGGCAAAAAAAAAAAAGGAACCAAGGATGTCAGTTGTGCCTGTAAGGACTCGCTGCAGAGACAAGATGGGTGCACAGGAATGAACGCATGCACAGGAAACAGGCTGACTAGTTGGTCCCTTAGGCTTCTGGAAAGAAGATGGGCTTTGTAGTATCGCAGAGTTTCAAATCCTGGCTCTACTGACCCAACTGTGTGACGCTGGGTGAACTATCAAACCTCTCCAAGCCTTTTCCCTCCTGTGTACAATGGGGACACAGCGATCTGCTACACACGTTGTGTGAGGATTAAATGAGGGTCCGCCTGTGAAAGCCCCTAACAGCACTTGGCAGATGTAGCAAGCAGGTAGCATGTGTCGGCATCCTTTCTCTCTGGGGCTTCAGCTGTGCAAATCCTTTCTGGATTTGCAAATCCTTGCACTTTCAGTGCAAGTTATATAAATGAAAATGAAATACCAGAGACTGAAGGAGAGCTCTATGGGTGGGAAAACCTGGAGGAGGTAGGGTGAGGCCAGGCTTTGAGAGATAGCCAAGATTTGGAGGGGAAACAAGAAAGGCGAGGTACCCTTAGGATAAGAAATAACTTGGCCAAGTGCTGTTCTCTGGGGGAGAGTGGAACAGAAGGGTCATGCTCAGAGGAGACAATGGAACTTGGTCAGATCCAGTTCCTATCCTTGTTGTGCCACTTATAAGCCATGTGACCTTCCTTGGGAAAATTGCTTTATGTTTCTCTAAGCCTCAGTTTCTTAAGAAAAGAATTATATTTTTTTCATACAGTAAAATTCATGCTTTTTTAGTGTACAGTTCTATGAATTTTAACATGTTGTATAGATTTGTAAAATCACTGCCATGATCAGGAGATAGAATAGTTCCATCACCCTCCAAATCTCCCTCATGTTACCCCTTGAGAGGCACACCCTCCCCAACACCCTAACCACTAGTCTGTCCTCCATCACCATGGTTTTGTCTTTTTTGAGAATGTCACATCAATGGAATCATACAGTATGGAACCTTTTGAGACTGGCTTCTCTCACTTAGAATGATGCCTTTGAGATCTATCCATGCAATTGTTTGTGTCCGTGGTTTGTTCTTTGTTATTGCTGAATGGATTCCATTATATAGACATACCATAGTTTATCTGTTCATCCATGAAGAACTTTTGCATTGTTTCCAGGTTTTGTTCATTTCTCAGTTTTATCATCTATAAAATAGAATGATGATGATAATTGTACCTACCTCATAGGGCTATAAAAACTAAATAGAATAGGAGGTGTGCGTATATATATATATAAAATGTTATATATATAACACAATATTTTAGACATTACAGTACTGAGCAAAAAATAGAAGTATTGATCAATAAAAAAATGAGTTTATTAGCTCTAATGAACATAAATATTTGATATAAAGCAAGTTTTTCAAAGCAAGTAGGTAGAGAATGAGAACCTCTATCCATCCCTCCCACTAGGTAATCTCATTCAATTCCACGGTGCAGTGTTTATTAAACAGAGTAGTTAAGAGCATGGACACTGGAGCCGGAATCACAATTACCAGTTCTGCCATTGTCAGATGGACAAGATACTTAAACTGTGTCTTATTTGATTCATCTACAAAGTAGAGATACTATTAAGATTTACCTTATGGGGTTGTGCTAGGATTAGATGAGTTAATATATACAAAATAAGGCCTGGGTCTGGTATATAATACATATTAATATAAGTATTTAGCTATTCTTATTCTTAATTACATATATATTTTAGATAATGTGTGTGGATTTTTTTTTAAGAAAGATCTTAAACAGATCTTTAACAGATCTTGCTCTGTTGCCCAGGATGAAGGGCAGTAGCATCATCATATTAATAGCTCACTGCAACCTCAAATTCCTGAGCTCAAGTGATCCTCCTGCCTCAGCCTCCTAAGTAACTGGGACTATAAGCGTGTACCACCATCCCTGGTTAATTTTTTTCAAGATAAGGTCTCACTATGTTGCCCAGGCTGCTCTTGAACTCATGGCCTCAAGTGATCCTCTTGCCTCAGCCTCTTGAATAGAATGTGTGTGGATTATATCAACCACACAGAAGAGCAGTTAGGTTATTGCACGATTTCAAGCTAGGGTGATATGGGCAAAGAACTATTTCCAGTAATTTTATTTGCTTCTTTTATATTGTTTTATTTTTAGGGCATTGCTCCCAAAATAGAGTTTTCTACCAGGACAGCCATCAGAGAATGTGTGTTTCTGCATAGAAACAGATTTCATGTAAGTATAATCAAAAAACTAGTGATAGAAATGACAGGAATTTTCTCCAAATTTAAAGAATTTTAGCCCAAACTCAGTTTACCAAGTTGAGGTGCAACTGAACAAATAGAAACCTGAAAAGTTTTTGCTGGGCTTGAATTTTTGTATTCCAACTGTTTGCTCAGCATCCCACAGGAGAGTGAATATGTTTGGCACACGTTTGGCAGCATGGTGTAGTTGGTAAAGTAGGGTGATTCAGAAGCTAAAATCACACATTTGGGGTAAGTAGGCTAGTTAGCATTTGTGATTGTTACTCTTGTTCCATGACCTTTATGGATCTTAGGAACAATAGTGTTTCCTTCTTTCTTTTGCTGAGGCTGACAGAGTTGTATTTGTGGTCCAGGGCACCCATGTGTGTGACCTCCATTTTACTCTTTTCTTTAATTCTAATTTAATTACCCCTTCACCTTGATTTCTTTCTGTTTTGCTTTTATCTTATTGAACATAACTTTGTAGCCACTTAAAATCCTTTCTAGAACAAGGTGGGGAATGAACAAAGGTAGTTGATAAGGCTTCTTCAAATACTTTGGGACAAGGAAGAGTAAAATGAGTAAGTAAAACAAAATGCTTATCCCAAATCTCACCTGTGTTTCTAGAAAATGCCTTGAAAATGTGGGCTGTGGGTTAAGGGGTACTGAGTGAGAAAGGCCAGTAACCTGTGCAAACCTATCAGTTTTTCTGGCATATTAACACATATAATGGGAGACCAGTGATTAACTTTAAGAAAGGCATTAGCTGCTTTTTAGTTTCTCCTTCTTTATCCTCTAGTCTCCAATTTATTTGTGATGTGTTCATGGTGATTTTTTAGTCTTTCTTTCTCTTCCATTCTACCCTTTTAATCTGATTTTAACGTCATAGGTCTTTTAAGTATTAACTTTTTAAACAAATAGCTTTTATTCTTTTATTATAGCAAAAACACCACTTTAGAAAATTAGAAAATGAAGATAAGCAAAAAGGTCAAAGTAAAAATAAAAATCATCGTCATTCTTGCCATTTAGAGATAAGCACAACTGATTTTTTCCAGTATATTCTACACACACACACACACACACACACACACACACACACATACACTTTTAAAAAAGATTAGGATCATATTGCACTGCATATTATTTTGTACCCTTCTTTTTTCACTTAATATGTCATGAACATTTTCTCATGGCCTTAAGTAGTATTATGCCAGACAATTTTTCATGGCTTCATAGTATTCCATTATATGGAAGTTCTGTAATTTGTTTGGCCAATTGTTTTCCTTTGTTGGGCACTTAATGGATATACCAGTCAGAATCCAGTCAGGAAACCAAAAGAGACTTGTTATTTTAACAGAAAGATTTAATGTGAGAAAAAAATATGGCTAAATAGGAGTTGCAGGACTGAAAGACTAAAGGGGAACACTGAAGTGGCACAGTAACTGCAGGAGGCAGTTAGTTTCTACCCCTCAGGCTGGGTCATCAAGAACACAGAATGGGGCCTAGACCTTTGGAACAGGGTTGCCTTCCTGGGTGCTTCCTCAGGAGTTCAGAGGTGGGACTCTGGTGAGCTGGGACTTCAACTTCTAAGGAGGCACTGCTCACTGCCAGTGCCACAGGAGTTTGTAGGAAGCTCAAATATTCCTGTGGGGCTAGACTCAAATCTCTGAGCAGGCGGCTCAGAGAGAGCTGGTGCTGGTGTGCATGAAGGAGTGCAGTGTAGCTAGTTCTGGCATTATGGGGGAAAAACTATAGACTGGAACCATTTGCAGCTGCCAAGGTGAAGAATGGTTGCTGGGATGATGCTAAAAAGCAGAGTGCAAACCCAGAATTAGCCGGTCTCGTCTCCTCCAGCCTTGCCGTCTCTTTAGCGCCCCCCAGTGGCAGAGCCTAACAGAGACCAGCTAGAGAAGCAGAAAGAGGGTTTGCAGAGTCCCTGGCCCTGTATCACATAGCTGAGGTGGGTTTGCAGCCGAGAGGCAATTGCTTACTCACCAATACAGTTGGTTTCTAATTTTTAAACTATTACAACCATTTATGTAGCTATACACATAGACATAGTTATTTCCTTTTAAAAATTCCTTGAAGTGAAATTACCGGACCCAAGTATATGCCAAATTCTCTGTTTATCACCTATCTATGCCTGGGTGTTGTCTTGACACTTTCTAACTTTCCCCTAATACAAATAAATTTCACCGTTATTAGTTGAAATACATTATACTAGCAAGTTAGAAATACTATTGATGTTAAGCTGAACTGTAACAAAACTAAGTAGAGAAATGTCCTTAAGTTTATATTTTGTAAATCTGAGATGTTCAATCTTCTACCTTAGTTTTTAAAAGTTCCATTAAATATGGTTATGTTTTGATTAAATTTTCTTCCTTCCTTTCATTTTTTTATTTTTAAAAAATTATTCCTTCTTGTTTTGGTTTCAGGAAGAAAGATATAAATCACGAAGGCCTTTATCTACATCACGTGGACCAACATTCCCCTTAAATAATATAAAGACAAAGCCAAAGGAGAATAATCTCGACAGACTGCCCAAAGGCATGCAATCTTGGGCACCCTCTCCCTGCTCTGCCAGACATTGCTTCCAGGACCAGCCAGTTCAGATGAACCTTGGAAATCATTTCAAAATCCCTGGAGGAAACAAGCCTCCATTTGTAGTTAGACATGTAAGCCTAAGATTATTTTTTGGAGTACTTTGGAATGGGAAGGGTGTGGGCTATAAAGGTTGGGCTATAAAAGTAAATGGGTAATATTAAAGAGGGAATTCAAGTTGGATAATATTAACAACTGTGATTAGATTATGTTCATTTCCTAGAGTCATTATCAGAAAACTCCTATGAAGGTTCTTATATAGAGGACTTGCTCAGTGAATGTCAACAATCTATATTTAATTTTTGTTATTTTTTAAATTTCATAATATTATAGGGTACACATGTTTTGGTTACATAATTTGCTTTTGTAACCTATTTTTAATTTTTGAAAATTATTAATATAGTATGATGTCTACATATGATAACTCCCCATTATCCAGAGAAGTCAGTGAACTGACAGAGGTTGAAGACACACACCAAAGGCTGGCATGTCTTCTGTATCAACACAAAACTAAAGCTTCATCAGCTAAACTAAAGCTTTAATGAAAACTGCTTGAGTTTTCCTAATGAGATTGGTGCTCAGTGGCCATAACTTGGAAGAGGAAGAAAAGTATGTTTGCAGGAAGAAGCAATGATGTACCATACTCAAAGCCCTTAATTAAAGTCATCTTAGATTTAGTCCTCAGGAAGTAGTGGACAAATTTAGTCACACTAGTTCACTACTATAAAAGTAATGGAAAAATATAGACAACTTCAAGAAAAAACTACCCATTGGTTCACCAGCATAATAAAAATAATTGTTTAATTTGATGTGTTTTCTCTGCCTTTTTAAATTTATAGGCTTTATTTTTTTCCACAAAAATAATTATACTGCATATAGAGATTAATTTCCTTATATATATTTTCCTCTATATTCCAGTGAACATGACATTAAAAGCAGTTTCTGTATTATTTCATACTCTGTATGAATACCATTTTGTGTTCTAATTGATGACTTACTCTTCAGAACGTTTAACTGTTGATAGTATCATTAAGTTGGTATTTTGACTGAAAGTCACTAGAGGTGATGTTTGTGTATTAGATAGGCTATGAAATATGGTAAGTTTCAAAGTCGTGCTGTTGAGATGGCTGTATAAAATAGTTTGTAGGTGGAACAGAACTGTTGATTAGAAACTACAGAATAGCTGTTTATCTATTGATACTATCTACCTACAGATACAAAATTAAGAACAACTGTTGTCTTCTTGGTGGCTTGGGTAAAGATATCTGGCAAAAACTGATTTTTTTTCTTGGCCAATCTTTAAACATGGTGCTATAAAAATATTGCTGAGTTGAATTTCATTTTATTGAAAATAAATCTGATTTATTTCATTCAATTTCAATTTTTGTCCATGCATTATTAACTAAATAACCTTAAAATCTTGGTAGATTTCTTAAGGAATTAAAACTTGCTTGATACTTATTTTATTTAACAAATTCTTATACAGCTTTTACTATGTGCTTATACAGCTTTTACTTTTTGTGTTTTTTGGACCAAACTATGGAGGAATGCCAAGTATTTTTAAAAGTGATTTTATGTATTTAATTCTTTATTCAGCCAGGTTTCCTGATGGTACATGATGTTTTCTTAAGTAGAAGCATTACAATTTAGAGGACCTGATGTCATAAAGACTATAAACTCAAGTCAATGTATATCTTGAAGTAGAGTGAAAGTAACATTTTAACCTGCCTTATTGAAATAAAAAAAAAAAATAACAGAAATGAACAACAAGGTAAAAAAAAAAAATCCAGGAACTGTATGTTGTAGATATTCTGGAAAATTCCCTAATTTAAGTACTTTGAAATATTTGTAGATCATATTGCCCAATTTTTCTTTAGGAAAATAAGGTCAGTCACCTTAAGCAAAATCATATAGTTACCATTATTCTTTTTTCAAGAACGTAGACACTCACATGGGAAGAGAATATGGAAGGCTGAGATGTCACCTTGTGGCAGTCCCTGCTGTCAGAGAGGAGCCCACCTGGGCTGTCACTGCTTATACTGTTTAAGGAACATAAAACTCTGTCCTGTTCTTAAAGATCATGAAATAAAGGTTCACTTGCTCTTTCTGTGCTCTCTCCTTACCAGTTGTTAGAATATGATGTGTCCGACCTTGTTGGTTCTCTGTGCTAACATTTAGGCCATATTCTGATCTGGGGTCCCGGAGAACCTGTGGCCTTGGGGCCACATGTGGCCTTCTGGATCCTTGAGTGTGGCCTTTTGACTGAATCCAGATTTTACAGAACAAATCCTTTTAATAAAGGGATTTGTGTTGTCAAGTGTGGATTCTGCCGAGGGGCCGCACTTGGGGATATTCGGGGTGCCCCATGTGGCCTCGAGGCCACAGGTCTCGCACCATGCAGAGAGAGTAATAGAGGTGATGGTGGATTTAAGTCCAATTTCCTTCTTTACTTTCAGGTGGACAGCGAAAAGCCCTTCGGTGAGAATATTGCGGAGCATCATCTGCGGAAGTCTAGAAGAAAATCTAAGTTTTCAAACTTTCCGTTTCCATTGAGAAGAGGTACTCGAGTTTCTTGTGACTCTTGTACGTGTCCCCGTGGGAAGAAATGAGTCTCGCTTACTGTCTTTCATTCTGAGGAATCACAAGTTGCTTTGGAAACTGGGGGCCTGATTCTCAAGTACTCCCCAGCTGTGCAGTTGGTGCGGCGGCCTCATGAAGCAGAGTCAGCTGAGAAGCCGTCCGTGTGCGCTTTCCCTTCGCTGTGGAAGGGGACTGTTCTGGGTAGTGTCGCGAACCGATGTGCTGTGGTCGTAGTAGTTGTTCCTTGCTGGGCCGGAGAGGCAGAGAGCAGCAGCTTGTCCTGGTGCAAACTCCTTGCAAAGGCACCATTAATAGCTAACAGATAAGACTTTCCATTTTCTGGATGGGATAGAGCAGGAGATTGATGGCGATCAGAAGACGTAATATTTGCCTTAGAAGATTCCATGTCAGCGAGGAGGGGGCTCCAGTTCTATCTAAAGCAGTGAAGCCAGGGTGTCTCAACCTTTCAGATTTCAGGACGCTTTTGCCTGTTTAAATGTTACGGAGGACCCCAAAGAGCTTTTGCTGATGGGGATAATATTTATCGATATTTAGCATGTTATTAAAACAGACATTTTTGAAATGTGAGAATACACTAGCACACATTTAGCCATCCAGAACAGTGATGTCATGACAACGTTATGGTAACTTTCAGAAAACTCCATTGTAAAATCATGAGAAAACGACAGCGAGAAAGGCAAATCGTGTCTCAGTATTACTATGAAAATAGTTTTGACCTTGCAGATCTCCTGAAAGGTCTTAGGGACCCCTGCGGAGATCCCTGGGCCACACGTGGAGAGTCACTGGGTTAAGGAATCCCTTAGAGGCTCTTACCTTAATGACTGAAATACGTGAATCATGACAACAGTGAAGGTCGTGGCGGTGAAATCCGGTCTTTCCTGAACTTCATCAAAATTCTTAAGCTAGAAAGGGATGGTGGTGGCCTACTCTTTTGCCTCCTGGTAGAATTGGATTTGTGCTGTCCCTGACAACAGAGTTCCCTATTTTAGGCTTCGAAGTGTGTACTTTTAGGAGCTGCAGAGTCTCTTGTGATGACTGAAAGTCAGTGTTCTTAGCTTGTAGTGACTATTTGATAGCAGCTGACCAAGTACTGGGTTCTGAGTACTGGGTTTGAAGCAGAAAGTGCTTCATCACCTCTGATGCTTAATTTAAGTTCTTTGAATTGAAAATCACCCGCATAGCCTAGAACAGCAGGACTGTCTTCCCCATTATGGTGAAATCAGGCAGCACCAAATGTCCTTTCTCGGGGAGGACAAGTTGGGCTTAATGCTGGCTCTATTATGATGGGACTCATGTATCACAGTGGTCTTGGCCTTTGTCTTTTCTTAATCCTGGCAGGTGGAGAACTAAGGTTCCAGAAAGGTTACATGTGTGTACAGGGCACACATCGAGTTTTTGGCCATACCTACATTTAGAGAAGATGCTCAGGCCTCTGAGCTCAGATCCTTGGAATCCCTGTAGCTTTCAAGCCCGACCCTTGCTTAGGTCACCTGTCAGCTCATTCATCCAGGCCTAAGGTAGAATACAGCAGTGCTTCTCACACTTGAATGTGCATTTGAATCACCTGGGGATCTTGTTAACCTGCAGATTCTGATTTAGTAAGGCTGGGGTGGGATCTGGGATCCCTCTTTTCTAACAAGATTCCAGGTGATACTGATGCTGCTGGTCCATGGACTGCACTTTGAGAAGCAGAGGGAATACAGGCAGGGAATGAAGGCAAGCCTCCTGTGAAAGGGAGGGCTCAAAACCAGTAGCCAGGAGGTTACTAGGCCACAGGGCAGGTTGGTAATGATGGCTACAAAGGACCTTAGTATTGCTGATTCCCTACCCAGCTGGGACAAGATGGCACACACATACATGTATGCCCAGAGGATATCAAAATGACTAGGCTTTAAAAAACCCTTTTTAGATCTTCCTTCTTACTACCAGGGGGATGGGGGAATTAGGAGTCCAGGAAACATCTTTTGTCACTGCCTAAGCCCCAGTCTCCCTGGGGGAAGCCATGGTGGCCTTACCCTCGCCTTACAAATACTCATTTCAAAAGCATTTTTTTTTCAACCTGGAAAAATCCAACCTAGTCTAGGTTTTCTCTATGTGTATTTATTACTTCATTTGCTAGTCATCCTTACCATTCTCTGGCATTAGGGCTATTTGCTTATCATGATTACTTAGGTTAATCATAATTTCCATTTTTGCTGCATTATGTTTCTTCAAGCTCTTATGTATTCATTGACTCAATTTAACATTTGTGTCTACCTTGGACAAATGTACTCAAGAGATCCTGCATAAATAGGATTCCATGAAAACCGAGGAGAATGGCAGAAGAGGCAGAGTTTATAAATTTAATTTAGACCCACACTGCTTTCTTTTAGGCTCTGGGCACCTGGGCAAATGTGAGCTTTTTAGGCTGCTTAAGGGTTACTGCACTTACTGATTCACTTTGGAACTTGCTTTTACCCTTTCCCTTTGCATGTGTGCTGTAGTTAAAAATACAACCTCATTGTTGACCTCAAAAGGATGAAAAGCCTCATAGAATTGCTGACTCAAGGGAGACTTAAAAGTGATAGTGTAATTTACAAGGGAGAATTTAAGTTCTTTAATAATTCATTCATTGTCTAAAATTTTTGTACTGCTGTGGAATAAATGAACAGCAGTTTTAGGGCTAACTGGTAATAATGAGTCATTGAAACACCTGTTCCTCTTTCTTCTAGCTTCTTCTTTTGACAGCCTTGCAGCTAACGTAAAGGTAATTTTAGAAGTAGAATTTATAAAATGACTTATTTCCAGCTATCTTATGTCAATTATTGTGCTTTCTCCAATCAGCAGTGCAAAGTATATTTCTAGCTAGTGCTAATTATGTGGAATTGTTAACAGATTAACTAGCGTTTATGTAAAGAGGTGCCCGGGCTCCACTGTATACTTTGGGGTTAGTTGTTTGTGCCCCTCACATGAGCTCTTTTCGTTTGTAGGATGAATGATCAGGGGGAGTGTATCTAGGCCCAATAACTATCGGTAGTGATTTTCATTGCTTTTTCTCTAATCGAATACTTTTATACATAGAGGTGGTAAATCACTTACTTGTTCTTGAAGTTTAATTGGTTTGTCAAAGTGAAGGCTCCCACTTCTAGGTTACAAACATGAGAATAGATGTATGTAAAGAAAATTGAGTATACAGGCTTCTTATGCCATAGCATTTAAAGATTTTGTGTAAAGATTGTATTTTCCCTAGACCCAATAATCCCTCATTCTCAGAAATCAAAGTTCACAGCATGAGTTTATTTTGGCTTGTTAATATATACCAGACATAGAGACTTTTGGTTCCTTTAAGGTTCCTTCAAGGTTCCTGACCTTGACTCCTGAGCATTTATTTTATCACTAGTTTTTTCTACTCCACCTCTTCTTTTAATTGCAGAGGGTCCCTGGGACAGATAGTCTATCATCTTACTCCCAGTTCTCTTCCTTATTCCACCCCACCCCTAACTCTAAATTCAGCAAACAAACAAACAAAACTACAGCTAAAGAATAATGCACATTGTCATCCAGGTTATCAAAGAACCAGATGAACGGATTGTTTTAAGGAGTGAGTCACCATCACCTTTAGATTCAAGTAAGTTTGGAAAGCCCTCACCCAGTAATCAAGGGGATGCCCATTTCCACCGGGAAACTTCGTTTGTCACCACCCAACATTCCAGCTCTCAAAGCACTCTGGATCAGCCCCTTTTCCGAGAAAGGTCAGTGGCAAACACCCATCTCTTTGCTTGAACAGTGCATTGTGGCCTGTCAGAAGTAAAGCCAGGTCATTTATTTCTTCGGTTTGCTTTCTTAGGGATATTCAGCTAGTGACTTCATTTTTTTTTTTAGTTTGGTTTTAGTGACAGGGTCTCACTTTGTCACTCAGGCTAGAGTGCAGTAGCATCATATAAGCTCATTGCAGCCTAAAACTCCTGGGCTCAAGCGATCCTCCTGCAGGTGCATGCCATGACACCTGGCTAATTTTTCTTACTTTTTGTAGAGATGGGGTTTCACTATGTTGCTCAGGCTGGTTTTGAACTCAAGTGATCCTCCTGCCTCAGTCTCCCAAAGTGCTGGGATTACAGGTCTGAGCCACTGTGCCTGGCCTAGTGACACCTTGATCTGAAAAAAATGATTATTCTTTTTAAGAGCTACCCAAAAGCAGAGTCGAACCTTTTCTCTTGCTTCTGGAAAGCATATCTCAGGATATTTGTTGTAAATGAGATAGACAACTTTGGCATGGATACTGTTTACCCATTTTTTAGTGTCATAAATTTAAAAATAAAGCTTTTGATTTCACCAATATAAAAATGTTCATTATAGAAAGTTTGGAAATTACAGAAAAAAAAAGGAGTGGAAAAAAAATCACCCATAGTCCTGCCACCCAAAGATAAATGTTATTAACATGTAGGTTTATTTTCTTTTTCTAGACATAGTTTCTTCTTTGTTTACATTATTGTCAAAAATAATAAAAATACATTTGCATATGTCTGGAGGGCTTGGCCAGAGAGTGAGAGCAGGAACCTCTCTTTGCCAAATTATACTCTATAATTCGTAACCATTCAGTTTACCTAGATTTTGCCAGTTTTAACTTAATGCAGTTTAAGTCCTGCATTCCGGAAAACCTCCGAATTTCAGGCAAGCTAGGACAATTGGTAACCTTAACTCCAGGTAAGTGGCACTGAAAATAATATATTTAAAACAGCTGTTTTGAATGAAGGATATACCAATTTGCTTTTTTCTATGTTATTTGTGATGAGAATAAGAAATTTCCGTACCAGAATAACACAATTGCTCACAAAAAGACTCATAGTAAATATATTCTAGAAAAAAAGTCACTCTAAAAGGTTTAACAGGCATTATAGTAAGTTTGAAGTAGACTAAGAAAGTGGCAACCCATTCTTAGTGTTTTTCAGAAATGATAGGATAACTCTGTATTACAATGTTAAATCATGCATTTGAGGAAGCCAAATCAAGTATTTTAATAAAATCTATTAATATATAGTGAGATTTTGATTACTTAACTGGAAAAAAATAATACAACATAGGTAGTAATTGTCTGTGGCTGACAGAGACAGGTGGTCAGACACAGTTACACTCCTCTCTGTGCCGGGTTATGCTTATGCTCTTGCTGCCAGTCTGGAACACAGCAGGTGGGCAAAGCAGGGGAGGTTATCTGGGATTCAGAGACTTATAGAGAATTGATTTTAAACAGAGAGTAGGAACAACCTTCAGCTAGGGGTGTTCAGGAGACTTGGGTTCTAGTATTCATCTGTCTCTAAGTGATATGTGATCTCACACAAATACTTGACCTTTCAGACCTCAGTTTTCTCATCTTTGAAATGGGTGTGATTATCAAAGATCCATCTTACAGCTACAAAGTGCTTCTCTGCTGTCAGAAGTGGGGAAAGCTTATGGCTTTTGTCTGTGTGCTTTGTTTATAGACATCTCCCAAACTCCTTATAATCAGCACAGCAAGCTTTGCTGAGAGACTGAATTGAGTGTGTAGCTACTGGGCAATTACTATGTGCACTGCCCATGATCACGGCATATCTCCGCCTTCCAGTGTCTCACACACTAGACGGGAAGGCAGGCGTACCCCCATGTCAGTAAATATGCAATAGACTGCAGTGTGTACTTAACAGATGTGTCATCCAAATACAGGGGAAAGAGAGAGCAGTAGGAGATTAATTCCATTAGGAGGGAGATCTAGGAAGGCCTCGTTTCTCTTTAAATACATCTGTTAGATGGGTTATGCATTCATTCAGCCAGCCTTTCCCGAGCGTCTTTATGCGGCGGGCCAGTGATTCTCAACTCTGGCCAACGTAAGAATTGCCTCCTGTTTACTGAGTCTGGATCTATCGGGATGGAATCAAGTGTGTTGTGGGAGAATGTGGAATCTTTGCAGTTAAAAGAGTGTGTCAGAAGGAAAACAGGATTGATACTCAGTCTTCTAGACCTGGGATGGAAACACTAACATTGAAGACATTTTTCCTGGTCTCTGAAAACTTGCAACCTACCAGAGGATGTAAAAGGGGGGGGGGGGAAGCACACAAACAAAACAGAACTTTGTGAATAGTGAAGACCAAATACTACTGGAGTATAAAGAAGGAGGATGCCACTTCTAGAATGTTTTATGGGGGAGGTGCCCTTTCATGGGGTCCCTGAGAGGAGGGGATTGGTTCATGGTAGAGTTAATGAGGGTTCAGGATGGGAGGTGGGAGGCAGGGCCCTGCAGGCCTCTAACAATTAGACAAGTTTGAGAGAATAGTGGGTTTCAGGGCTCAAGGGTCTGAAGGGGACATGGAAGCCAAGCTAAGGAATTTGGGCTTTGCTTGGAAGGCCCTGGTGAGCTTTGCAAATTAGTCACAGGAATTGGCACAAGTGACTTTAGGAAGACAGGTCTGACTGCAGGCCAGAGTTTTATCAGCCATCTCTGATGAGGCAGCAAATTCCATGTGCCCAGCGTCACTCTAACTGATAACTTTGGACCTAATTGAACTGTGAATTTGTAAATAAGGCTGTGATCAACAGTGATACGGGGATGACACAGCCACAAGAAGGACACCCAGTTTGCTCGTGGCTGTCCTGGTTTTAGTTCCCAAAGTCCTGCATCCTGGGAAAACACTTGAGTTCCAGGTAAACCAAGACAGTTGGTCACCATAACTCCAGAGAAGTGGCACCTAAGACAGTATTTGTAAGACAGCAGTTTTGAATGAAGGACATGTGCTTCATATCTGTGGGGAGAAATCCATTCCCTGTTGACTTTAGAGTGATGGCAAAGGCACTCCTGGGACACTGAGGACTACCAGCACTTTGTCCCTGCCACTCACTGATCTTTTCACATCAGTGCCATCAGGTCCAGTCTCTGTGCCCAGATCACAAGGGTGCATGAAAAACACCTTTTGAGTTTCTCCTTGCTTAATACTGAGCTGGGAGACAAATTTGAGAGTGAGAGTCAACCCAATGTTTTACTAGAATAAGTGGAAATCCCTTAACCACCAGGGTGAAAATGGTAGTCCCAGAGGAGGAAGGAACCCTCTCAGGCCTGTTCCCTGTGTCTGCCATCTGGGTGGTGTCACATCCCTTCAACACACATCCTCCCTCTTCCCGCTGCATGATGAGAAGGTGGGTCCCACTGAAAAAGCTGTAACAAAGGCATAGCACTACTCCTGTCTGTTTATCCATCGTTCTCAGAGATCTTCACATGTAGAGTAGGTTGATGTGACAGCAATGGTAACAGACATTGGAATCACTCTGGTACTATTTAATAGTTACTCAAGGCCTATGAAAAAGTATTTACCATGTCCAGCTAGTGGCTATTTTTAAACGCTTTTATTCATAGCTTCAAAATATTTCTAGTCCTTCCTCCTAAAAATTCTTCAGGAAGTATAGAAATGAGGTACATGGACTTTTCTTTTTTTTTGAAACAGAGTCTTGCTCTGTTGCCTGGGCTAGAGTGCCATGGGGTCAGCCTAGCTCACAGCAACCTCAACCTCCTGGGCTCAAACAATCCTCCTTTCTGCCTCAGCCTCCCGAGTAGCTGGGACTACAGGCATGCGCTACCATGCCCAGCTAATTTTTTTCTATATATTTTTAATTGGCCAACTAATTTCTCTCTATTTTTAGTAGAGAAGCAGGCTCGCTCTTGCTCAGGCTGGTCTCGAACTCCTGACCTCAAGTGATCCTCCCACTTTGGCCTCCCAGAGTGCCAGGATTACAGGCGTGAGCCACCACGCCCTGCCAAGATGGACTTTTCTTAAATTTGCGCCAGTGCTTTAGGTGGTGCTTTTATTTGCTTGAGCTCTTTTCCTGGGTTGGTAATGGATTTGTGTAGATCCATTCATAACTCTTGGTCTTGTCTCCCCGGAAACCAGTGGGACATAGCAGTCACAGAGAGAGCTGGATGAGAGGCCTAGACATGGGTTGGAACCAAGCAGAAGGGCAACCACACAAGGGGTCATTTGTGTGGTAGCCACGGAAGCAACTGGATTTCCACATATTCCTGTCATTTCCATTATTTATCAGATATTAACTCAAGAGAATAATTATATCCAAATGGCTACAATTCATTAGGTATTTATAGAAAACAGTATCTGTGCTTTCCATTATCAAATTGATATGTATACTTTTAGCATCCCCCCCCCAAGAATTCTACAATCTTTCCTGATACACACTTTTAGCTTGGTTAGACCTCAGATTTTAGGATTCAGTGTCCATTTTCCTCCCAGATATGAATGAATAAATGAATGAGTGAATAAATTCAATCATTAAAGAAATAGTTATTAAATACTTACTATGGTATTCAGTATCTACTATACCCTGAAATGAGCTATTAATCAAAGAGTCTCAGTCCCAATTTCAGTCTAGGAATAAAGACAGACATTAACCAAATGATGACAGAATGTCCACTTGCAGAAGTGGTATGAGGGAGGCATAGGTGAATGAAACTTCAAGTGTGTATATTTGGGAAGCCGCTCTTCTCTATAGGAGGGGCTCAGGAAGTCCTCTACTGAGAAGTTAGCAATTGGACTAAGCTCTGAAAGATGGGTAGGAGTTAATAAGAGTAGGGATGGAGGTTGGAAGGTAAAGACGGAGCAGCGTTGGCAAATGTCTATGAAAGGGAGCAAATGCTCCATGCTTGAGGAATTGGAAGAGACTATCAGACCCGTGGCTAAATTTGGAGTCTGGATGGCCTAAAGTAAGCGAGATATAAAATAAAATCCTTGTGGTAGAAAACAACTGGGATTAAATTTTACATTAAAATTCTTTGGATTAAATTTTTTTTGTTTTGTTTTGTTTTTTTATTTCGGCATATTATGGGGGTACAGATTTTAAGGTTTCAATAAATGCCCATTTCCTCCCCTCCCCCCAAAAGTCTGAGTCTCCATCATGACCATCCCCCAGATGGTGCACATCTCACTCATTATGTATGTATATGCCCGGTCCCCCTCCCCATCACCTGCCAATACCCTATACCTATGTGTCCTACTTAGGTGCTACTCAGTTAATACCAGTTTGCTGGAGAATATATCTGGTGCTTGTTTTTCCATTCTTGGGATACTTCACTTAGTAGTATGGGTTCCAGCTCTAACCAGGAAAATATGAGATGTGCTATATCACCATTGTTTCTTAGAGCTGAATAGTACTCCATGGTATACATATACCACATTTTATTAATCCATTCTTGGATTGATGGGCACTTGGGCTGTTTCCACAGCCTTGCAATTATGAATTGTGCTGCTATAAACATTCGAGTGCAGGTGTCTTTTTTGTAGAGTGTCATTGGATCATTTGGGTAGATGCCCAGCAATGGGATTGCTGGATCAAATGGTAGATTCACTTGTATCGCTTTAAGGTATCTCCATATTGCTTTCCACAGAGGTTGAACTAGTTTGCAGTCCCACCAGCAGTGTAGGAGTGTTCTCTCTCTCCGCAACCACGCCAGCATTTATTGTTTGGAGATTTTTTGATAAAGGCCATTCTCACTGGGGTTAAGTGATATCTCATTGTGGTTTTGATTTGCATTTCCCTGATGATTAGGGATGGTTGAGCATTTTTCATATGTTTGTTGGCCATTTCTTCTGTCTTCTTTAGAAAAGTTTCTGTTCAAGTCCTTTGCCCACTTTTTAATGGGGTTTTTTGATTTTTTCTTCCTGATTTTCGTGAGTTCTAAGTATATTCTAGTTATCAGTCCCTTATCGGATGCATAGGATGCAAAAATTTTCTCCCATTCTGTAGGTTGTCTGTTTACTTTCATGACTATTTCTTTGGCTGTGCAGAAGCTTTGTAGTTTGATCATGTCCCATTTATTTATTTTTGTTGCTGCTGTGATTGCTTTGGGGACTTCTTCATAAACTCTTTGCCCAGGCCGATGTCTAGGAGAGTGTTTCCAACTTTTTCCCTTAGAGTTCTAATAGTTTCATACCTTAGGTTTAAGTCTGTTATCCAGCGTGAGTTGGTTTTTGTGAGAGGTGAAAGGTGTGGGTCCTGTTTTAGCCTTCTACAGGTGGCTATCCAGTTTTCCCAGCACCATTTATTGAAAAGGGATTCTTTTCCCCAGCGTATGTTTTTTGTCTGCTTTGTCAAAGATTAGATGGCTATATGAGGAGGGTTTTATATCAGGATTCTCACATCTGTTCCACTGGTCAATATTCCTATTTTTGTGCCAATACCATATTGATTTAATTACTACAGCTTTGTAGTATAGTTTGATATCTGGCATATTAATGCCTCCCATTTTGTTTTTGTTGCCTAGAATTGCTCTTGATATTTGGGGTCTTCTTTGGTTCCATACGAAGCGTAAAATTAATTTTTCTATATCTGTGAAGAATGCTGATGGGATTTTAATAGGTATTGCATTGAATCTGTAGATCAGTTTGGTAGTATAGACATTTTGATGATATTGAGTCTGCCGATCCACGAGCATGGTATGGATTTCCATCTGTTTACATCCTCTGCTATTTCCTTCCTCAGTGTTTCATAGTTCTCCCTGTAGAGGTCTTTTACGTCCTGGTTAAGTATATTCCTAGGTACTTTAATTTCTTTGTTGCTATTGTAAAGGGAATTGAGTCTTTGATTTGGTTCTCAATTAGATTGTTGTTGGCGTATATGAATGCCTCTGATTTTGTGTATTGATTTTGTATCCTGAGACTTTACTAAATTCATTGATCAGATTCCAGGAGTTTCTTGGTTGAATATTTGGGGTTTTCTAGATACAATATCATATCATCAGCAACAGTGAAAATTTGATCTCTTCTGCCCCTATTTGGATACCTTTGATTCCATTTTCCTGTCTGATTGCTGTAGCCAAGACTTCCAGCACTATGTTGAAGCAGAAGTGGAGGATAGTGGGCAGCCTTGTCTGGTTCCAGTTCTAAGTGGGAATGATTCCAATTTTTCCCATTCAGTAATGATGTTGGCTATGGGCTCTGTCATATATGGCTTATATCATGTTTTAGGTATGTCCCTTCTATGCCTATTTTCTTAAGTGTTTGTATCATGAAAGGGTTGTTGAATTTGTCAAAGCTTTTTCTGCATCTATTGAAAGAATCATGTGGTCTTTGTTTTTGCTTCTGTTTATGTGGTGAATTGCATTTATAGATTTAATATGTTTAACCATCCTGCATCCCTGGGATGAAGCCCACTTGGTCGTGGTGGATTATTTTTTTGATAAGTGTCTGGATTCAGTTAGCTAAGATTTTGTTGAAAATTTTGCATCTATATTCATTAGGGATAATTGGTCTGTAGTTTTCTTTTTTTGTTGCCACCCTTTCCTGGTTTTGGTATCAGAGTAATATTTGCTTTCATAAAAGGTGTCGGGGAGGTTTCCGTTCTTCTCGATGTTGTGGAATAGTTTCTGCAAGATAGGTACCAGTTCTTCTTTGTAAGTGTGGTAAAATTCAGGTGTGAAGCCATCTGGACGGGGACTTTTGCTTTTTAGGGAGATTTTTAATTGCTGTTTCTATTTCAGCTGTTGAGATTGGTCTGTTCAGGGAATCTATTTCTTCCTGGTTGAGCCTAGGGAGGCTGTGTGTTTCTAGAAATTTGTCCATTTCCTCCACATTTTCCAGTTTTGTGCATAGAGATTTTTGTAGTATTCATAAATTGTATTTGTATCTTTGGATCCAGTTTGTGATATCTCCTTTTTTATTCCTGATCGGGCTTATTAGA